CTGTACTCCATCTCGTTTCTCTCTTTCTTTTCAAGTCTCTTAGAAACAGAAAAGAAAGAGAGAGAGAGAGTTTAACTTCTCACATACACAGAGACATACATACATATCTACATAAGTAGACTCGAACACACAGATGCACGATAAGGAGAGTACCTACGAAGCGCAGCATTGCGCAGCGCGATATTCTCATAAAAGCAAAAGACAACTTTCGCGCTTCCTTCCTTCCTTCCTTCGAACGTTTCGTTCCAAATCAAGAGTGGCGCTTTTGGGTCGCGTGCTTGAATGAACAACAACGTGCGCTAACTTCACACTTACGTATTTCCTTTCTACTTATTTTGAAGACAAAATAAATAATCAAAAGGAAACAGGAAAGTTGAATTTTAATTTATTAAGACTTTGGTTGACATTGTCTAAATATTTGCATTCTTATTTATCTCACTTCTTAAGTTCAATTATTTTTTCTCTTCCACACACCTTATTGAATATTTATGGAACGAATTAAAAAAATAAAATAATATTTGTATCGGATATTTTAAATAATTTTCAACATGCTTTGTCACACTGGTATCAGTCAAGATAATTATCCTACAAGATATTTTAATTACTTTTTAAGTATAAAAAGTATTTTAAAAAATGTAAGATCGAAAAAAACAGCTTCATTTAATGACGTGTACTGTTAAGAACATGTTTTGCCGTAGAGGCCACTATTCTACCACAATATAGTAACGGCGGTCACATAAGACCCTTGTGGTGCCTATTGACAAAGGACAAATGTCGGTCATGGGTGATCTACGTGGAGGTCAACGTGTTAATATTAATTTGCAGTAGCACTTGTAATAGTTTAAAGAAAGACAAAAAATATATTAGGAAAAATCTTGTAATCGGTAATAAATGTATTACAACAATCTGTTATTAAAAATATGCTGTAAATGATGTCAATGAAATTAATATTATATGTATTTATTTATCATACGTGCAACAATATAATTAATTTCACGTAGATACAAATGACGATGATTAGCACACACACAAAAAAAACAAACATTCGTCTCATATTAAAATCATTTTCACCTATCTCTTTGGTCAAGTAAACGTGGTAGACTGGCAGACAGGCAGGCAGGCAGGCAGGCAGGGAGGCAGGCAGGCAGGCATGCAGGCAAGCAAGCAGGCAGGCAGGCAGGTTGCGTGCTTCAAAAGAACCGCTTGTCCCGAACGATTCCTTGCCACGAACGCAACCGTCGTGTTTTGTTATGACGCTGTCGAGATGCTTCGGACAGCTGGATGGGGTTGGACGAATCGCCTTATAAAGTCGAACCCAAAGGAGACCCGACCAATTTTTCAGATTCTCCGATACAAAATTCGGTGATTCTCTATGCTCAAACTCAAGGTCTATCTTCTTCTTATTCTTTATAATTGATGTATGTGTGTGTGCGCATAATCCTATGCATGTGTGTGAATGTACATGATTGGAATAATTTCTATTCATTTATTTCAGTCAATTTCATCGTTCGTACAGCTGTCCTTTTTTGCTATTTAATTTTCATTAATCAAACTTTTTTCATACTTGTATAAACATACAAAATATTTTCTTATGAATTGTCAACTCTGGAACATTGGTTCCATGACTAATTTTATTATATAATTAATTTCTTCTGATGAGACAAATTGAAAAAGTATGGAAGATAACATGAAAAATGAGACGTCAATAATCAAATAAAAAGGTTCATGCATTGATTTAAAAGGTTACAAAGTTAGACAGAAATTTAACGAGTGTGTATAAAAGACAACGCGAGGTCAACGATATGGCACCTTTGAGAAACAATAGATTACGAATAAAAATAGGTAAAGGTATAGGATGATCTGTTCGGTGGTTATCTTTGCCATTATAATTACGCTAATTAGGCAGTAAGACGCAAGAAGAAGTGGGTAAATATTTATCGCATTGAAACTAGAAAGGAAAAAGAACAAAAAACAATAGAGAGAGAGAGAGAGACCTTACTGTGGATTTCGTGATGGTTGAGGAAGGAAAAGATGGGAAGTTATGGGTGGAAAAAGAAGTGAGGAAGAGGAAGAGGAAGGCGCAAAGGGCAGCCAGCCAGGAACAGCAGGAACGAACGACAGGATACGCGGCAAAAAGAGGGAGAGAAAGAGAGAGAGAGAGAGAATAAGAAGAAGAGAAAAAAGAAAGATAAGAAAAATAAAGAGAAAGAAAAAGAAAAAGAGAGAAGGCTATAATACAGTTTTGCCGCGAGCAGCAGCTTTCCAGAGAGCGTCGGTTTGCCCAAACCCTCGTCCTTACCGTTCTTTACTCTACTCTCTTCTCTCTTTTCCGTGCGGTTTGCTAGAAAGCGAAGAAGAGGGGAAGGAATCCTCGGTGAGGGGTCCGCTAGAATAGAGGAAAAAGGGGAGTAGAGAGTCGAAGCTCTGCTGGATTTCGCGGGACGGGCTGCTGCTGCTGCTGCTGCTGCTGCTGCTGCCGCCGCTGTTGCTGCTTCTGCTGTTGCTGCTAGTAGAGTAGTAGTGTGTGCTGATGCTGATGGTAGTGTAGTGTAGAGACGAAGAGAGAGGGAAGACCCTGATGGCAGGCGGCGAACGGGATGTGGAGAAAGGGAGGAGAAAAGGAGGAGAAGGAGGAAGCCAGTCGGCTCGTTTGATCTCTGCCGCGGGCGCCGACAAAGCGTTCGTCCACTCTCCTACAACGCGCCGCTCGGTCCTACGAGTGCGAGCGAGAGGAAAAATATCCGAAAGAGGAAGAGAGAGAGAGAGAGAGAGAGAGAGAGAGAAAGAAAGGGAGAGAGAGAGAACACTGCGACGAGTGCCACAGCATGCTGAGAGAAACGCTCGCCTGTAGGATGTGCCTGCGCGGCGCAGGGCCTTCGATAGAGTGAGATAGAGTAAGAGGGAGAATGGGAGGGAGAGGAAAACGAAGTGGAAAGGTTGGAGAGGGAGAAGGATGCAAAAGGTTCGTAGCCGCGCGATCCGTCGGCTTCTGTCGCGCTTGCTCTAAGCATGGCGCTGCCACTCCCTTGCGGCTGGCACACCGGCTTTGCTATTAATAAATAATGTTCTCTGTGGTCCGCGTTACGAGCAAAATCGCCTCGTTCCACTTCTCTCTCCTTCTCTTCTTGATCTTTATCTTTATCTTCTCTTTTTTTTTTCGAAATCTTTTCCCTTTTTCGTTCGTTTTTGCATCGGTTCATCAGCACATTCTTCCTTTCTTTTTTTCTTCTTCAATTTTCCCATTTCTTGCGGTTCTCTTTCTATTACTTTTCTTCTTCGTTTCTTTTTTCTCTCCTTTCGTTACACTCATTCACTACGGTTAATCTGTTCCCTTCGAGCTAAACCCATTGACTTTTCCTTCCACGCTTTATCTAGGATCTTTCTTCAAAAGATTTGCCGCTAAAATCCCTCTTCGACAATACATCCTTTTCTATTGTTAACTATTATCCCTTCTATTGATGGATCTCTTTACAAAAGGTATCTCTTACTTTTGCGGAATTTGCCTTCTTGAGCTTGGATTATTTTCAACTATTTTTCTTTTTTTTTTCTTTTTTCATTTAGATATATATATATATATATATATAATATGTGGAAACGGTGTTGAAAGTTTGAAACATCTAGATAATCATGCGGTGTCGTTTAAAGTTTGAAGATTTATGTGATCTTTTTTTGTTTATTCAACGATATATCATTCACCTCGTCTTTAACTTTTTTTCAACTATCCTGTTATTTACCTATATAAAGTGATTTATTTTCTTGCCTGCAATGTTTATTTCATATTTAAAGAATTTGTCGAATTAATGTAATTTTTAATGAATATTAAAAATGAAGTATTTTTCAATGAAAATTTTACGACAAAATTACAATTTCATACTATTCCGATTAGAACTTGTAATATTGTGATATGATAGAGAATGTTCATACATTTCCTTATATTAATAATACGTGACTAAGGATTTAGCGATCTGTAACGTTTGCTAAAAGTAAAAAAGTCTGTTTTATCGATGTTGATATAACGATAGCATTGAAATCATATTTTCAAACATTTGTAGAATTATTGATATATTGATTAAACATACTTTTTAATTATCATTAATTATTAAAGTATTATGAAATTTCTAAATTTCTAATTAATAACCTAACTTATCAATGATCGATATTTCTGTTTTATTACTATGGAATTTCTTAACTCATTGCATATCTATATTCGGTATTTCGATTACGCATTGCGAACTTATTCATTGAGTTACTTCAAAAATTGTTGATAATTATCGCGATCGAAAAATAATTTCCTACTTTATCGACACTATTTGAAATAAAAGTTAAATCAAAGAATACAGAAGTACATAGAAATTCATAAGTCCACTTTTTTCCTAACCGAATTCATCTTAGTTACTATCGAGATTACCAGTAGGTGATAGTAGGTAGAAAAGTATATTCTTTGATAGTATTGTACCGTTCATTGATATTTACTGTCAACGCGTAAAGTATCTATTATAGCCCAGTTGTGGTCCCGGTAGTAACTAAGATGAATCTGGTTACGAAAAAAGTGGACTTGTGAGCTTTTATGTACTTCTATATTCTTTCGTTACTAAATATAGTAACCTAATTTGTTAGTCATTTAATTTTATCTTATCATCGTTTGTACAATGCAATCCAATTTATAGAATATAAGAATAGAAATAAACTACACACAAGACTAAAGATATCAGGCAAAATTAGAAATATTATATATTATATAAAACAGATTATGTACAAAACAAATGAATTTCATAAACAAGGAACAAACAATATTTAAATCGATTTTTTTAATTATGTTAGGTTTGAATTTTTAATTATATTATGATTTTTAATTAAAAATCTAAAACTTTAACAATGTTTATTCATATTTTATCGACAATGTGTATAATTATAAATATATGCATTTGTAGAGATATAGCGAAGTAAATGAAAAAACAATGATATGATATTATCGATCATTTTTTTTAATTTTGTTTCCTTGAAATTCTGCAGAGTTTTTATTACAGTAGGAGCTAATGAATAAACAATGATATGATATCAATCATTTTTTTAAATTTTGTTTACTTGGAACTCTGCAGAGTTTTTATTACAGTAGGAGCATGCGTAGTATACTAAAGATAAATGACTCATCTGAGTTGGGTCGTGATAAACACCTGAGATTCGATGGCTTTGTATAGTTTGTGCCAAAAAAAAAAGGACGCATATATAAATAAATTAGACATTAATTAATATTACCGAAGTGTATTTCAACGATGAATTAGAAATTTGAAAGTTTCAATATTTCTTGTTTATTTCACAATAAGCGTAAAAATTCGCGTTCTATCGTGAAATCAAACATTCCTCAATGTACTTTCGTTTTACGGTCACCATCTTACGACGACGAGACACCGACACCATCTGGCGACATTTAAGCGAAATGAAGTCGAGGTTGAACCTGTTGGTCCTATATACATTTGATCGTATCATTCATTACTTATTTGAAACTTCATCGTTTACGTGGAATTTAGTTTAACTATGAGACACATCGTTGCCCTCGACGTTGGTACAACTACTGTTCGCTGTCATATTATTGACGAAAATGCAAACACTGTATCATCCTCCGCCGAAAAGGTTTGCAATTTCTTTTATTTTCTTTGTTTTCGAATGTTTTTTTAAAAATCATTTTCTCTTCCGCGCGTTTCATACTAATAGTATATATATATGTATATTTCGAATTGGCGCCGACAATCATAGTAACTTCCTTTTTAATATTATCAATGACAATGATTACTAATGTTGATTCGTTTATAACTTTATATGGTTCATATAACATTTCTATATTTTATATTAAATGTATAATAAATTAACGAGAGATTGGAATTAAAGACAATAAATTGATTGTTAATAGTGAAACTTACTCCAGTAGCACAAAATATTGAAAAATATTGACTACACGTGTATTTAATATTTGTCAATAATTTTTAAGGCCGGCGATACGTGCAAAATAAAAAAAAAATCGAATTTTTTTTTTCTCTTCATAAATAGTTAGTTTACCATCCTAAAAATATGCCTGTCAATTTTTAGAATGAAATTCGCATTAGTTATTGATTAAAAATTGATTTAAGTGATCCGCCTCAACTTGGCGCTAGACGCAAACGCTAAACTTTAAACGCGTTTTTCTCGAAACGACTTTTTTCAAACTGTGCTGAAAGATAACTCAAAAATGGTTTCAACCGATTCTTATGAAATTTAGCACACATTTTCTTTACAGTATTAGCTTCTAGTTGAACTTTAAAAATGCCACAAAAATGCCACAAAAATTGCTATTTTCGACCCAAAAGCCGTTAAAAAAAAGGCTCAAAAATCAGACTTTTTTGTCTGAGTTGTGGCAATTTACGATTTTTTGACTATTTAGTTTTTCCTTAGTTTAACTAGAAGATACATGTTTTATGAACACGCTTCGACCTTTTTTTTTAAATTTTCGATTGCTGTAACTAAAGCTAAAAATCACCATGATTGATGCGTTTCGTCGTGAAGGCCTCAGGAGATTAATTACTACGGCGGCCATTTTGAAAAAAATCAAATCAGGTTCTTATAATTTAATATGTAATGAATAAACATGCTGAGCTTCAAAAAGATTCATTTATTCCTTTCATTTTAAATAAGCTTCTTAAAAACGGTCAAAGTGTAGGCGTTTACATGTATCGCCGGCCTTAAGATCATCAGATAGGTCTATTCGTTACAAAATAAAGCTTCTTGTACAGATAAGATATAATTAAATGCCAATATGCCAATTTTACAAATACCATCCAGCTAATCGCTTATCTTAACTATCCAACAAATAATGGGTAGTTAAAAGAAGAATAAATACCTTCCTCCTTTTTTCTTTACTTTTTAATAATACAATTGTTTTTTTTTTTTTTATGAACCGTCTAGTTGCATGAAGCAGAGTTGTACACTTAATATTTTTATCAAAAAAACGAGTGCAATTCGAATTAATTTTCAAATTAATATTCAAAGATAATAATGTTATATTTTACGTCAGCCATTACTTCACTTCGTATTCGAAAATTTGTCAAACAGTTTTCTTGTAGAAACGTTTTTTTTTGTTTCTTATTTTTAATCCTATTCCATAAAGAAAATAACTTAAGTACATGTGGGTATCCTTGAATGGATATTCTGAAGGTGGCCTTGAATAAAAAACTGGTCGTCGAACATTGTAAGATGACATTTGGATGTTATTTCAGTTATAGTCATATGACTGCATTCATATGAATCCAGTATATATTTACTTAATTACAAATCTTAAAGTTTAACGACTAATAAAAGAATAAGTTGACAGAAAAGTGAAAAATTTATAAAATTTTTTATTTCATTTGTCCACAGGTGGAACTCATTTGTTCAAAACGCGGTTACAGCGAGATCGACCCTGATTATTTTTGGAATGTTATAGTAAAAACTGTCAAGGATACATTAGATGGTAAAGTAAAAAATAAAAATTACTAATTATATGCATAATTTTGCTCTTCAATTTGTACTAATTCATAACTTGTTATTTAACTTTATTATATTATATATAATTAACTTACACTATATATTTTTAATTTAATTTGTAATTTAATAATTATTTTTAGAACATTACTTACGTCTTATAAAAATTCGAAATTATTTTTTCTTGTATTATTTTAAATAATCATTTTTGTTTTTTCATTTATAATAATGTTTTTTTTTATTTTTTTTATTCACAATTGTCTTAAGTTAAAATGAGATCAAAGTTATAATTTACGTACTTATTTAATTATTGTTCATTGTTTCTTTTTTTTGTTTTTTTTTTTTTTTTAATCAGGAAGCGGACTCGACCCAAAGTCTTTCACCTGTTTTGGAATTTCGACGCAGCGTGGAACTTTTAGCTGTTGGAATTTATTGACTGGAAGCCATTATCATAAGTATCTTCAAATAATTTTAAATAAATATTAATTTTAAGTAGAAATTTAGTTTTAATTGCGTGACATTAATTTGTAAATTCGATGCTTAATTATTTTGTTAAATATTTCATTAATAATATAAATACAGAAAATATAGATCTTTTTTTCTTTTCAAATACTTACTTTACGAATACTACTTTTGTCCCCCACACTGTATATGTATATTATAATTGATATAATAATGTTTGTACATAATAATATTACAAGAGGAATAATCATTTCCAAGAATTCGTATAATTGCTATTAAGAAATTAGGTAGATTAGTAAATCTTGTTAATTCATTATAATAATTAATGAAGAAATTTAATGCAAGTTGCTTATTAATTTAAGTTATTCATTTACAGATTCATTACATGGAAGGATTTAAGAGCGGATTCTTTAGTTAAAGAATGGAATCGTTCATTAATAATAAAAGGTTTACGTATAGGGGCTTACATACTGTACCTATTAACGAGAAGCAATCGCTTCCTGGCTGGCAGTGTTTGGAAATTTATGAATACTCAGGTTTATTATTTACTTTTCTATCGCTATACGAATATTACATTTTTTCTGCGATATTTTCGAATATCTGTATCGCGAAAATTAGACAAATTTGCTGATTTTTTTTTCTTTACTTTTCAATATAATTTCTTTTTTTTTTTGAAATAAAAATTTGAAATGTACACACATTTGTGATTTGATGTGATTAAATTAATCTAATTTGCATCATGCCTAACAATTTCTAATAGGATGTTTCGTAATAAACAAGGCCAAATAAGATCTATGAACTTTTTTCATTGTTTTAATGTCCACTTCTGAAATGATTGCATTATATTACAAAACACCCTGCACATTTAATAAGTTTTGCTATTTATTGCAAATAATAATAATAATAATAATAATAATAATAATAATAATAATAATAATAATAATAATAATAATAATAATATCGTCATATATTTTAGATATCCTTACGGTTGCTTTGGGTTTTGCAACATGTACAAGGCCTAAGAGAAGCTATGATGAATGGCTCTGTAGCATTTGGCGATGTTAATTGCTGGCTTTTATACAAATTAACTGGTACGCTTTATCAATATTCGTTTTTCATATTCTGTTATATCTTAATATATATAAATTACGTGTTACGTTGTTTGTATGAAATACTTCATTCATATATGTTATTAATACATTATTTATTTTTCACAGGTAAACATATAATAGATGCTTCAAGCGCATCTGCTACTGGATTGTTTGATCCGTTTACTATGAAATGGGCTGCATGGGCAATAAATATATTAAAAATTCCACTTCACATATTTCCTAAGATTGTTGATACCGCTGCAAACTTCGGGGTTACACCGAAACATATATTTGGCGTTGAAATACCTATATATTGTTGTGTAAGATTTAAAAATAGAAATATTTTCTAAATTGGTTCGTTAATTATTCGTTCCTGTATTATACTTGTAATTATTTGTTTATAATTTTAGATGGCTGATCAATCAGCTTCTTTATTCGGTTCGGGATGTTTCAATCCAGGTGATATGAAGATTACAATGGGTACAGGAACTTTTGTTAATGTTAATAGCGGAGCAAAAGCACATGCATCCGTTAGTGGTAATTATAGATAAAAAGACATGAAAATCTTACATTCTATTATAGGTACTCGCATATTGAATAATATTTTACAAAAGTCAAATTAATTGTTAGGTCTTTATCCCCTGGTTGGTTGGCGTATTGAATCTGAATTAGTTTACGTTGTAGAAGGTGCATCGAATGATACCGGAATTCTTATTGAATGGGGAAAAACTCTTGGTAATTTTTCTTTCAATTTTAATATTCAAATTACAGAATAGATCTTTTAACTCTTTCGACACGCTTTCACTGTATAAATCTTATTCGCATTACCAACTGCAGGCAATACTACAGTATAAGCTATTTACGATAATATTTTATCATAAAGTTAATCATATATTATGTTACAGAAATTTATAAAGATGTAGCAGAAATATCGGATTTAGCAAATTCAGTGGAAGACTCGGATGGAGTATATTTTATACCAGCTTTTACTGGACTCCAGGTATAAACATTATTTACAAATAATTATTTGTAAATTACAAAATGCACAATATAATATATTATTGTAATCTAAATTTGATATTTTAATTAGAAAAAAAAAAAAATAAAATAAAATAAAATGTTGAGCATACAATCTCTCTTTGTAGGCTCCAATAAATAATAATACTGCGGCAGCAGGTTTCTTAGGATTGAAACCAACGACGAAAAAAGCCCACATTGTACGATCGTTATTAGAAAGTCTTGTATTTAGAACGTTATTACTTTTTGATAGTTTTCGTTCAGAAACTAACTTCACGTTTAACAAAGCACGGTAAGGATGGAAACCTTTGGGTCAGATAAATAATTTTCCAAAGTTGAGAATGAAGATGAAATTAACATAATGCGTTGATAAAATAGAATCGACGGTGGAGTATCTCGAAATGATTTCATCATGCAATTATTGGCAGATGTTACGGGTTTGGAAATAGAGCGACCTGCCAATATAGAAATGTCCATTTTTGGTGTAGCGATTTGCGCTGGCTTATATTGTGGTACGAAAAATAGTGTGTGTATGTTACGTACGTACAGTAATTCAAATTACTAAAAATAATCAATAATTTATTTTAGGTATATGGAAAAATAAAGAAGAATTACAAAATCTTCGTAAAGTGGAGAAAATATTTAAGCCAAACAAAGATTCGCAATTACGTTATAAAAATACTATTACCGAATGGAAACGAGCAGTGGATCGATTTATAAACTGGTATTGATACTAAAGATTTTTAGTCATACTATAAATATTCATGCGTAGTGAAAATCTTGTTAAAAATAGCTACATTCCTAAAATATATTGTAAATAAGATTATCTATATAGTATTACGAGTATCAAGTTTAAAATACTCTTAATTTTAATTGATATTTACGTAGGAATTAATACATCGAATCATTAAAGATATTACAAAAGTCACGATATTCTAATGCAAAAATTGTAGTATAATGAGAGTAGATGAAAATCGATTTTTAATCAAAATAATGTTTTCGATCTATCAAGAATAATAATAATTAATTATTTAATACATAATATGTCACAGCTATATAGTATTTGTTATATTATATAGAAGTCATGCTTGTATGCGATAAAACATTCGCGAGTGATTAGTATTATTAAAGTGTTCCTAAGAAAAGTGCCTTTTTATATTGTTAATATATTTAGGAGATCTTTAATGATGATACAATTTTCATATTTTTAATGGATACTAAAGTAACATTTCGTTTATTATGTATAGTTTTTAAAAATAAAAATTGTCATATAGAACTGAACTTATTCAAGATAAATAATTCATTATAAAATACAAATGTATTAAAGTATTATAAATTCATACTTCGTGTATGTTACAAAACCAGTTTTTCCATGTCCCTATTGTACACTCCTAAATACACTGTTCACATGAAGCACGTAATAATATGAAACAAAATCATATTCGATGTATATTTTTGCAAAGTGTTTCATTCTTTATCGGAACATCTAAAGGAATTAGTTGCAACAGAAAATTCCTGATCGTGTTAACTAATGATAAAGATACCTAAGGATAGATTTAAAAAAAAAAAGGATATATTATATTTACTAGTTTACAACAGGGTACCTTTCCTTTGACAAACATCCAATGATTTTGGTGTCTACCTAAGAATATCGTATTCGGCATTCCATCTTGATTACTAAAATTTAGAAAAAATGGTAGTTTTATTTTAGTTACCCCTACTTTAAGGTCATACTGGTGTTCTTTGGTGGGAAAAGAATTATAAGTGACAGGGAATGACTGTTGCAACTCAGTTGGTCCAGTTTATTCAGTCAATTCAGTTCTATTCATACTCATAATCATTAGGCGGACTCATATTCAATTGATCCGCACATAATCAGTTAAGTAAATTCAGTTCATTGGACAATTTCTGCTAATTCTTATAAATATATATATCAGTGGTTACTATTAGTAAAAAACAAGGAAATTAAGGTACATAGCGATACAGGGGCTGAACACCACGCTGATTTGCTGTATAACGAGTATTAAAATATATCTTCAATTCATAACAATTGATGTGTGTTTTTTTTCTGGATCAACTCCTCCTTTCGCCCTTACAACGTGGAAGTGGAGAAAGATAACATTTATTTTTCGAGCAGAATGAGAAAGCACGTGCACAGTATGAAAATGAAAATCAGCCAACGACCGTACAATCAAACATAAAGTTACTTGTATCACACATTTAATAAGGAGATTAGTTATTAAACATTTATCTCATCACAGAATTATGATATTTATATTATCAGATATATTTTTCATTTCATTTTCTATTGATTTTGTCGCATTTTGTTTTTATACAATTTTTTAATCGAATTAATCGTTGCATTATACAAAAATTAATGTTGTTAGTGTAGATAGTTTTGCAAGGTAAAAATGAAATAGAATAATCGAATAAATTGTTTCCAGTAGTATCGATTCGTGGGAATATATTTTGTCGGATGTATTGTTTTTAATTTTGGAGGGGAAAGCGGATGCGCCTATATATATATATATATATATACATTTATGTATTAACATAATACGTATTTCCATGACTTCGTACATAAATTTGGATATATAAATAAAAGAGCAGTAAGTAAAAGAATTATTTGAAAAGTTATTTCAATTGAAAATTTGAGTAGAAAAATGTACGTGTTAAACGAAGTATGTGAAGAATTACAAAATATGAATCAAAATAATTTTTTGTGAATATTTGTAAAACCGTTATAAACAAGGAATATATACATATATACATATTTTGTCAATCTATTTATTTCTATATGTGAATTTTGTAAATTTGATTAAAATTGATTAATCAAAAATTCCAAGATTTTGAAAAATTCTAATAAAATGATTGAGTTCTATGATACAATAAAAATTATAATGTAAATTTAAGATATATCCTTAAACAAATATAATTTATTTTAAAAGTATAAGTTTACTTTCAAATTGATTCTAATTATAATTTTATTTGTAAAAATTCTGGATAAAAAAAAAAACAAAAAAATTCTTACTTCATATTTTCTATCAATACTACATGAAAAATAATATTCCTGTATTTAAAATTGTTCACATATATCACATACGGTGTAGACTAAATTTTTGTTTATATTTAATGAAAAATCATAAAAATATGTTTTACGTTTGTCTTTGAATGTTTGAAAATTTCTTTGACTGACTGTATGCCAAACGTTTCCGTTTTAATTCAGCACAATAACAACTCGAGCTTGGGAATATTAAAAACAATGCTTTAGGAATCAAAGAGTGTTCGTTCCTCCGGCTTGAAGCGTGCACAACACACGTGTTCTACGAACCTGTTTTAAGTTAGTTTCAAGTTAGTCTCGAGCGACCGGTAAACATACCGCGTGCTCACAGTGCAACTCTGTAGTCCCTAAATCAAGATTGTGAATCTGACGGAGCGTCTAACCGACACCAGTTTTGGAAATTCTTTAAGAACGTGCTTACAAAAAGGATATTTTAAAAATGGTATGTAAATTAATCTTATTCTTTGATAATCTCGTTCACATTTCCTTCTTTTTTTTCCCTCTTTATCCACGGACATAAATTTTAAATGCAACGTCATCGTTAGACGATCATCATTGTTTTTTTATTAAATTTAACCTTCATCACGATCCTCAGGTTTTTATATTGATGATTCTCAATATAACAAACAATACGTTATAAGTGGTTTCGATAAACATGCAACAAAATTGTTCAATATTATAAGAATTAATTTATTATTTAATTATTAATAACATATTTTTATTTGTAAGTCACTTTTCACGCGACTTATTACCAATAAAGTTTAATATTGTTATATATCATTTATATTATTGGTGGATTCGAACAAAATTATTATGTGAATTTGCTTTGATTTTTTTCCCCTATTCATCTCTATTTTCAAATAATGTGATGTTATCATTGATGGATATATTAATTTATAAATAATAATATTTTATTTAAAAGAAAAATAATTTTCGTGAATAAAGGTCTAATATTAGAAATGAACGAATTATTTCATTCGTTCGTATAGGTAAAATTTAAATTTCTAAATGGATTACGCGATGGAATTTATACAGCACATGAACGAAGAAGGGGAGATCAAAGATATATATATATATATATATATATATATATATATATATTTACATATGTATAAATATTAGAGGGTAAAGTTGAAGGAATTATATTAACATACAGATATATAAAACCTGATATAGACAATTGGATGTGTTAAATGGTATTTTTATTCAATTTTTTATTCAATTACAATTTGAATAATTATTTAATGATTTTTCTTTTACAAAATTCATATTACGAAATAATAAGTAAATAATAAAATAAATTATGATCGATATACTGTTTTTCTTGATCTTTTTCAACGATTCCTTTCTCATTTACATTCTCGTCACGGAAGAATGTTTTTTTTTTCTTTTTTCTTTTTAAATGTATTTTTTTTTAAAGATAAATAATTAACATGAGAGAAAAAATAACGTTCACTTAGATTTTTTCGAGAAACCAATTTACGTAAGATGTAATTCGTACAATTACACCACAAGAGATTGCACGAATAAAAACCGCAGACACGCGACACCTGCGTCCGACTTGTGAGCGAATGTAATTTGATTAAATTATCTTGCATCAAATTTTATTCGGTATACTTTTCGACACATAATGAAAATAATATCATCGAGAAATTCGACTAATTGTTAATACATACGTTCATTTGACTAACATTGTCGCGAAAACAAATTTACTAAGGATACTTTGTCATAGATTATCGATGCTTTAGCGAGAGTTTTCATGTTTTTAATTATTGCATTTGATTATTGTAAACGATATTGTTGTTTTCTTTCTATTTTTTTTTTTTTTTATATAAAAGATTACCTATAATTATGTTAATTATATTTGTTATACAAAGCATATTTCTTACTTATTATACAAATTTTATTTCTTACGCTATTTTTTAGCATCAAAAATATTTAATTAGTGGAAAAATTGTTCTATTCAAATTTGTCTTTCGTTCTTATTTAAGATTCCTTTTAGTCACCTTGAATAAATGTAATAGGTCCATTACATGAGGAAACTTACCAGACAGGTTTTACAAATTTAATATTAATTTAAAGCCTACTTTTTAAGCCAAATTTTTTATTGAAATAACGTTTATTGAAAAGTATTTTTACCGCAAAGTTAAAATCAAGGTATATTCATCTTGTCAACAATTATTTACAATATTTTCATGTTATTTATCAATTCTTATTTAATTTAACATTATTCCTATAAAATTGCTTCTTTTTTTTTTAACAATACATTCTTTTCTAGTATTTTTTTCTATATAATTCATTTATTTCATAACATACTTTAAAACGTATATATTCGTGAATAGAAAATGTTCAGTACTTTTATCTTCGATTGTACCTCTCAAGCATCTTTAAACGTGAAGAAAAATAAAAAAAAAAAATCTGACCTTTGACTATAACTTTGATTCATTTTACATAATTATCTACTTTTTCTACTTGTTTTTTTTTTATTTTTTTTTTATTGAAATAACGTTTATTCTTACGTAAATCTTTTTTTTCATAGGCGGAAGTTATCATAGATATACCAAAACAAATGGACGATGAATTAAAGAATGAAATGATTACGTCGTCAACAGTATCATCTGAAAATGAGACTACTCGTATTGATCTTCAAGCAGCTGTAATCGACATTTCGGATTCACGTAAGTAAAATCAAATTTAACACTTTGTTGGTCGCTTTCACGTACACGTGATTAGATTAATATGAATATAAATTTTGGCATGTAAGAATGTACGTATATGCACGTACCAGAAAAAAAAAAGATTAGGCATATAAATGTACATAGAAATATGCACGTGTACGTGAATACGAATAAACGAACATTTATTCTTATGGAATTATTTAAAAAATATTTACGTGCATATACAGAAAAAATTAAACACATAAGTACCTTCGCGCGCGCGCGCACACACACACACACATATGTACGTGCACACAAATACGACAGACAAGTAGATTTGTTATCATTGAATTATTTAATTTAATGACGGTGTAAACTAGTTTGAAAATAAGATAAGTGATACATACTTATAAACTTGGTTAAAAGGAAAAATGGTCAGGGTTGTTTGTGTAAGTGGTGGTTAAAAGTTTTTCAATGAAGTATACCTCTATGTATGTACATTCAATGTAACGATAGTTTTTTCTTGTTGGAAGGACACGAAATGACGTAAAATGAGGAGGACGATACTTCATAAATAAGACAATAATTAAATATAATGTTAGTTTTACGAATAAGAGAGAAATTTCATTTTCTTTACATTTTCTTTTTCTTACTCGACGAATAGTCGTGAAAGACAAACCGACCAAGAATTTTCTATTCATTTGCAATCGTCCAAGAAAAATATTTCAAGGTAGGAGAGAAATCATATTTTTAAATAATTATTAATAATAACGAGAGTTTATTTTTATTATTATTATTATTATTAGTATTATTATAAAATACGCGACATTTATTATTTATGTGTGTCTCAATTGAAATTATAAGTGAATATTAATTTAACTGCATTGAATAGTTTAGTATTATATTTAATCAACGTATTATAGAAAAGTCCTAGCAATGCGTGACCGGGGACACCTAGTATATATGCATAAAAACATAGTACTTTCTCGAGCGTATATAATAATAATAATAATAATATTTTTATCTAAATCCGAGTCTTACTTATAATTGGCATTTCTTGAAATATGCGGTAAATGTAATCGCTACAACTTTCACTTTTCAACTTACAAGGAGAAGTCGCGATCGTCCCCCCTTCGATTTTTTTAAAATTTTCCACACTTGTAGTAGTCCATGAAAAGATTCATTGAGTCTTTAAACTTGGTGCAAATATTCAGCCGTTTATGAAAAAACGTCAATTGAAATTTAACATAAATGTGTATTCCTTTAGTTAAGTAGTCTAGTACAAGGATCGGCAAACTGCGGCTCTTTGGATGTGAAGCTGCAGCTCTTTAGTTAAAAGAGTTTAGTAAAAAAAAAAAAAAACATTTAAAAATCGTTCTGAATCGATTAACGAGGATTAGAGGTTTAAAATTTGTTGTTGTTAAATATAAAACTACAAATTTTTATTGTTTGAACTCATATTGGTAAATACTCTTAAGTAATCTTGTATTATATAATTGAAATGAATTTTTTAGTTAGTTTTGTAAAAACATTTTATCTTAAATTTTTATTATCAAAATAATATACATTTATATGAGTAAAGTAAATTTAAAAATTAAAAATAATAAATAATTTATAGAAATAAAGAAATACATACAAATGTAATACGTATTTATTTCCATTAAAATAAAATAGAATTTTTAGAAGTTATAGACGTGATTTATATATATATTTTTAGACTTATTTATATATATTAGACGTATATATGTATATATATATACATGCAGAATACAGCAGAAGAACGAACAATTACAAAAATCGATTTTTCCATACACCACGGTGGTAGGGATAATCCGACTCTGTATACTGTTTTCAGCATCATAGCATTTAATAACTATGAAGCATTGGACCAGTGTGTAACGTTTGTTTGCTATTAAAGTGTAAAACAAAAATGACGATTGTTTCGTGGCCACTCAAAAATTATTTCAATACGAGTTACACATCGACTGTTGTTATCCTTAAATGAAATGATTTTTTGTCTATACTTTACAATGATTTATTTATCATTTTTTTAAAGTTATTGAATTTCTGTGATTGTTTATGTCTCTGCAGCACAATCTGTATTATATACATATTTTCATAAGTATCAAATTATAATGATACAATAAGTAGGAAATTTTGTGCAAAAATAAGGTAAAATTTATATGGTATTATTATAACATTTTCAAAGAAAATTTCAAAATAGTAGATCTATACATATTTACAACATATTATAATTCAATATATTAAATGTTTTAATATATTACAATATATTAAACATATCTAAGAGTTTGTTCTTTATGAACCGTATGCAAATATGTTAATAATTTTTTTTCTTTATATGCGTTCATTAATATTGTATCTATTAAATTAATTTAGTGTTTAATAAAGGAGAGGAAAATTAGCAATAATATTAACTTTTTGATTTAACCTAATTTAATAGATAGTGTATTCCTTTGTATCCGATTATTGCAATGGAAACAATATCAACGCTGTCTAATAGTACATCCATTGAGATGGATGTTAATCAGCATAAAGATGTTGACAAAAATCATCATTCTGTGAAAATTCTTGTGGAAACTGCTCGTACACCATGTTACAACGCATTTGGTAGGATTTCTTTTCTCTAAATATTTTATCAAAATACTTGCTTAAGGCATAGAATATTTATTGTTCTAGTATTTGTCCTGCATGTTATGTGTTAAATGAAGTCTTTCATGGCACTGCTATTTTGAATTTTTAAATTATTTAAGGACTAAATTCTATTATTATAAGATAGTTTGTATCGTATACAACACAGAAATAAGCAAAAATACAATAAATAAAACTTTTACATATTTTTTCAAGTGTATTTATACACCGACTCATTTTCTTCTTCAACGCACTTTCTATAAAAGAACTTTGCACTTGATTCTTTTATGGTATCAACATCTGATAGCATTTTATGATTTTGAAAATCTATTTTTCATCTTAAAGATCTTCAATATTTATTCCATCTATCTAACTCCTTTTATTTCTAATGTTTTATTTATTTTCTTGTTTTGTAAGCTTACAAAAAAAGCAATTTGAATATTACCATAATCCTTACCTGGTATTTTGAAATAAGCAGGTCTTCTTATTTTGTGGAAATTTCTTCAATCTTAATACTCCAAATTTTATTTTACCTTTCCATTAGTTTCTTTTTAATTAATCTTTATTACTTAACCTTACTTTTTTAATACAGTAGATTGCGAGATCATCATTTTTATAGATTATATTAATATTATTAATTCATATATTGAATATTATTAACATAAGCATTTTTATTCTGATTATTCTGCTAGTATTTTCGCATATATTATTTAATCATTCACTTTCTCTTTTATACACCTAAACATACACGTGCAGCAACACAAACTCGATATAAGATGACGTTTCTATATTCCAATATCTATTTTCGACAGTACGTAATTTTATTCCAAAAATCGAACGATAATTTATGCATAGAGAGTAATTATAAATATTGGGATAGATTAAGAAACGTAAAAAAACGAATTATTGCATATATTGGTCGGAAAAATCAAATAAATATAAACAAGGATTAAAAACCAGAACGACGATTCTGACATCTAGTGACGAAAAATTCAACTAATATTTATTTGAACGAACAGAATATTCCGGTAGACCTAAATATATATATATATATATATATATATATATATATATATATATATATATATATATATAAATAGATAGATGTCAGAAAAGAAACATGATAAATACAAAACATTCGCTAAGAGTGAGGGGAAGAGATAGGTTAGGTTAGGATGGTAGGAGTGGTAGACGAGTTATAAACAGTAGATATACATGGAAATATCTTTCAGTTCCTTTTAAATGTGTTGAAGGATTGAGATAAGCAGTGAGAGAGAAAGAAAGAGAGATACGGATATATAAGGAAAGAAAAAAAAGTAATCGAGCAGTTCTATTGTTAATTCAAGTTCTTTTACATTGCGTCGTATCCTTGGGTAAGATCGACATATTAAGTATACGTGATATATGTTTAATAATTCACTGCAGTTTTTCGGTTTTTTGTTCATCAAACGATTCATTGGATTTTTACCATTTTGATAGAAAATAATTATCTCGACTTCAATCATTATGGGTAAGTGTTGTATTATTTCTCCAATAAATTTTCAAAATAATCATTATTATTTCATTTTTGGACTCCGTTTCCTCATTACGTCGCAATTTTTTTATCACATTTAAGTATATTACGTCACATTCGTTTCAAAATAATTACATTTTTATCCAATTATTTTTCTTCATTTTTAATAGGTCCCGTGACTATATGTATCATATACTGTTACCATATATATTTGTCATATATAATATTATTTTAATTAAACTATGTATAAATTGCATATTAACAGTTTTAAATAATCAGTTAAATAATGAAAAGGATTTTATTTTGGAAGGAGTTTGATACGATGTTGAGAAAAAATTTGTACAAAATTTTGACAAATGGAATCTTTACTATTGGAATATTATTAATTTGGGTAATTATTGAAATAGTGTGATTGTAGTTTGAACAAAATATTTTATAACCCTTATTAAACTTATAAATAGATTATTTTATTAGAGATTACAAAATAAACTAAATATCAATTTTATTTATGTAAATTATAAAACTCTTATATAAGAACAAGTTTTGATCTTAATTTGCATATCATAGCTCAACGATCTGGAATTCAGTTTAATTAAGACAATATATTTACATATGGTTTACATCATATTTTTATAATTTATTTCTCATTGTTTATCTATTAAGATAAAGAAATTTTAATTTCTCATTATCAAGTCTATTTAGAGGAGTATAATGAAATTTTCAACAAACAAGAGATATTTTTAATGCGATGTGCTATTTTTAATGTGAAATTTTACAGAACGGTCGTCAATAGTATTGATAAACACGGTAATATTCAAATTAATTAGTTATTTATTTGCTTTATTTTACTATTAACTATTATTTTTATATATCGTCGCTATTTTTATTACCTTGAAGAGAATGAGAAACTAAGTTTCTTAATTGTATCTTGCAGTCTTATTGTATAATGCAATGTATATATTATATTAGCACTGGACATGTATATGCATTCATTTGGTATATCATTTAATTAAATAAAATATTAGTAAATTGTACACGTGTAGAATTATATCGTTATTATTCAAATATATGTAGTCATCATTTAATAGTTATCAAAGCATAGCTCACAAATCAATCAAGTTATTAAATTGAATATTTTGATATCACACAGTTTTGAATAATGTTATTAGACATTTTTTTTTTTTAAGATTCTACATTTGATTTATATCTTATAATCAATCTTTATATTTTGTACTATTAACATTTCTTATTTGTGAGTTGGATGAAATCATGTTTTTATAATCAACCTTGAAAAAACTCGATTCTCTTCATTAAGTCTAAATGAGTATATTTTGTTTATCAAACTTTTCATCTAAGATCAGGTTCAAAGTACAAAATTTAATATTATATAATAAGATTATATATGTGTGTGTGTGTGAAAAATAATGTAAGTTATAAAGATAGATCTTCTTAGTCTTTTCTTCTGTTTTAGCACAAATGAATGGAAAAACAATGACAGCTAATTACGCTGATGTAAGTTATTGTTCAATTTATTTTTTATTTAATATCTTTGCAACGATGTTTACTTCGACATTTACTAAAGAAGATATAACAAAAGTGTTTGTTTTTATGTTTTGATAAGAATATTATATATAATTTCAATTTAATATTTAATTCCTGTAACAAATCTTTTTTAAGATCGTACAAGGCATGCGAGATACATTTTTTAGTGGTAAAACAAGACCATTGGAATGGAGAATAAAGCAATTAAAACAAATAATTAGAATGATGAAGGAGTGCACACCTCAATTTTTATCCGCATTGGCAACAGATTTAAGACGGGTAAAAAATAATAATATTCGTTACTTTATAAAGTTATTTATTTGTAATTATATATATATATATATTCGTTTGTTCTTTTTCCAGAGTAAATTTGAATCTATGATTTTAGAAATTAATTATACTATAGAAGACATTAAGCACATGATTTATAACATTAAGGATTGGGCTGCTACAGAAAAGGTATTAGAAGAAATTGTTTATTGCTTAAATTTAAATATGTTGCAAACAATTATATACATATATATATGAGCCGCTTATTTTGAAAGTGGCCTACCTCCATTTATGTTCGAATAAAGATATTGAAGGGTTTGCGTTTCAGTGCAATGGAAAATATACGTACAAGATAGTAATGAGTTATACTGCTTAAGTGTATCTAAAGGCATTAAATTTATATTTCCTATTAAAATAGTGGCAATTATTAAATGAATAATATGCGTTTTCTAACCACGAATGGGAGGAGTTAGGCCACTTTCAAAATAGGCGGCCCATATATGTTTTAAAAAAATATTCCTTTTTTAGCCTTCTAAAGCAATGATGAATTTACTCGATGGAGTTGAAATACACAAAGATCCTTATGGTGTTGTCCTTATCATAGGGGCATGGAATTATCCAATACAATTGGTCTTGGCACCTTTGATTGGTGCTATAGCAGCTGGAAATTGTGTTATTGTTAAACCCTCGGAAGTTGCACAAGCTACTGCTAATCTTTTCGCGGAACTAATTCCAAAATATTTGGATACAGTACGTATTGTGGAACGTTTTATTGAATATTTATTTTTTAAAGAGAGCTTTTTCTTTTTATTGTAAATTTATTTACATTTCAAATAGGAGTGTTATCGCGTTATAACAGGAAGTGTAGCAGAAACGACTGAACTACTTAAACAAAGATTTGATTATATATTTTATACTGGTTCTACTAACGTTGGTAGAATAGTTCGTGAAGCATCTAACAAATACTTGACGCCTGTTACTTTAGAATTAGGTGGTAAAAGGTACGATTGTAAAATACAATATTAAATTTAACAGATCAAAAAAATTTGGAGTTTATATTAGATATTTTGTATATATTATTATTTTTTTAGTCCTGTTTACATAGATAACTCGGCAGACATAAGTATAGCTACAAAGAGAATATTATGGGGGAAGTTCATCAATGTTGGACAAACTTGTATTGCACCCGACTACGTATTGTGTTCCACGGAAGTTCAAAATAAATTTTTGGAAGAAGCTAAAAAGATTTTGAAAGAGTGGTATGGAAATAATCCTAAAGAAAGTAACGATTTATGCCGTATTATTAATGAAAATCATTTGCAGTAAGTATATATGTATTTGAAATTGATTGAATTTATAAGTTCTACTAAATAAGTTATATTATATTCTACATAGGCGTTTAAAGAATTATTTATCAGGCAATGGAAAAGTAGCAATAGGTGGTGACTATGATTTCGCAGAAAAGTATATTTCTCCAACAGTTCTTATCGATGTAAAGCCTACTGATCCAGTTATGCAAGATGAAATTTTTGGACCGATTTTGCCAATTGTTAATGTTGATAATGCTTATGAAGCTATTCGTTTTATTAATAGTCGGTGAGTATTTAACATTATAATATAGGAACTTTTTAGAAGATACATTTAATACTTTGACTGCCATGTTGGTTAGACATACTCTAGAGCAGGGGGTGAGCAACCCGCGGCCCGTTAAGCGTTTATTTATATTACAGATATTCTCCCGCTAATATATTAAGTTCTACCAAATTAATGCGACTTGTTCCAGACAAAATTTCCAAATTTGGATAGGCCTGTTGCTAAAAAAGGTTGCTCACCCCTGATCTAGAGTATCTTTGTTACTCTAGCAGTGATTCGTTTAGGACAATATTTATCTATTATAATTGCATAAATTATATAGTGCAACCTTTCGTAAATACAATCATATCTGCAAGTGTATATTATATTCCTTTGACAAACAATACACAATAACCTTTGTTTTTAATACTTAGCGATATCCCACTTGTATTATACATCTTTTCCAAGGATAAAGGAGTACAAAATTTAATTATAAATCAAACTAATAGCGGATCAGTGTGTGTCAACGATACAATATTGCAATATAGTGGTGAGTCAGGTTATTAGGTAGTAGATGTATGATAATTCTTGAATTACTCTTTGCTTGTTTGCTTAGGAATGGGTAGTGAAAGTTCTGTTATAAGTGTATATATAATTTGTTATGTTTAATGATTCGAATTAAAAATACTCTTGTGAATAAAATTAATAAATAATTTCTTTGTATTTTCAATTGATTCCGGAAGGAAAGTAATACGTGAACGTGGGATTTTTTGTTACAGGGTGTCCCCTTCAGATTGGTATGACTTGTTATATCATTAGTATACCTTTAAGATGTTGTCGTAATAAAAAATTAAATTAGCTGGCCAACTTGATTTAATATTTTATTGCAAGAACACCTTAAAAGTGTACTACTAATAATACCAAGCCTTGTACCGATTTAAAGGAGATATCCCGTAGTATTTGTATATTAATTATACATGTTTTTAGGTTTCTTGTTGTGAAGAAGATATATTGATATATTTTTCTGTTTCTGTATCAAATGTATTCGTAATTACGAATTATCAGAATCAATTAATAATATAGTTAACTGCTAATATACAATTTCTTATAGATTTAGCAATTACATTATAATCATTACATCTATTATACATCATTTTCTCTAATTGTAAAAGATTAATTGCACTTTTGATTAGTAGTACATTTTTATGTACATTTAATGCAGACCCTATTTCCTAGATATAAAATAAATAAATTAAAAAATAAACAATTTAGAAAAATGAGATAACATTATTAAGTAAATACGTATTTATTTGTTTTTATTTTATTATTTTTTTATTTTGATTCTTTCTTTTTGCACAACTTATATTTTTTTTTTATTAAAGTCGTAAAAACGATAGTAAATATTTCTAATAATTTTAATGTAACATTTCAAATGAAACTTGGGTGAAGGATTTAATTTTACAGTAGTCAATTTATTTGTATATATGCATATATTGTTAATTGCATGAGTAGAGGGGTAGAGAGGAATATAGAAATTATGTGTAATGTTTAAATAGATATTATACTATTATAGATATATTTTTATTCTTTTGATATCATATTTTATTAATTACTTTATTTTAAATACATATTTTATTACACGAATATATTTATATACAGTTATTACAACAGATTTATTTGTTTATATATATGCATGTAAATATAATTTTCTTTATCATATATGATACAGGGAGAAGCCGCTAGCAATGTATATATTTAGCACAAATAAGGAAAATATATCTATGATTCTTACCAATACTTCTTGTGGTGGTGTTTGTATTAATGACATAATATTTCACGCAGCAGGTATTTGCTCAATATCATATATAAATCACTTGTGTGTATTAAAAGATTAAATACAAAGAAAATATGCACAAAGTGTTTTTAACTGTATAACAATAATGTTAAGAGCAGTGTTTTTTCAGTATGCTTCAAATAAAACAAGTTAAAATAATCATATACCTGATATCATTCAATTTTCAAATTATAGCTGATTTTTATCTTTTGGTAATTTATTATATAGCTTTACGGTAAATTTAAACAACATCTGGTATTTTTGAATAGTTTCTATGAAAATTATGTAACAACTCGTATAACATAGAACCGACTATAAATCGGTAACAAAGTTGTGTATGATTATATTAACTTTTTTTATTTTTATTTTAGCCAATTGTTGAAATTATCTCTGAAATGATGCCCACATATTTTGAAATGTCTTTTATATATATATGTAGATACAATTTTTGGTTTGATTCAAGAATCAAATCAGACAGTTTTCTTGTGTGCTTAAAAATAGTTTTGTTGAATTAAAATGTATTACTAATTACTAATTTTGTATTCTATTTGTAGGTATTACTAATTTTGCTTTCTATAATGAAATATATTTATACAGGGTGCCTGAAGTTTTTTCGGTCAAATGATGTCAGCGTATGTTATGCACGGAAATAAAGAAAAAAATGTTATATAATTATAGGTCATTTAAAATTATATTAACAAGTTTTGATATAAATTGTAAATGTTCACATTTATTGGGCAATGGGATTGTTCTTAAACTTTCAGTCGATTATGTTTACCTTTTCGCAAGTTTATTTATGAAATTTACTAATTTGAAGTGATTTAGCAAATTCCAATCGATATCAGATTTTTTTTTTTTAGGTTTCTTTTCGGAATACTAACGTTCGAAATGTCGAAAGTATTTGAAAACCAAGAATATGTGGATATTTCTAATGTGTGTATGGTTTTTGTAAAAGAGTATCAACGCAAATTTCTTGGTAGAAGAATATCATGTTACTTAGTGTTTCCGAATGTGTATTCGTGTTGTAATTTTTGAATATTATTGAAAAACCTCAAACATCCTGTATATTTTATGTTACATGCTATGGCTGTATGAAATTGAAATCTATCTTACTTATTATTCGTATCTGTAGTTATAGATAATTTAATATTATTTGTAATAATTATTATTTATTGTCGTTTTGTACATCTAATGTTATTTCAAAGTAATTTGAAATATTAATTTTCTTATATGGTTTTAGTTGACACATTACCGTTCGGTGGAGTCGGTAATTCAGGCATGGGTGCTTATCATGGAAAATACAGTTTTGATACATTTGTGCATAAAAAAGGATGTCTTATTAAAAATTTCAACATTATTGGGGAAAAATTGGCATCGTAAGATACAGATTTAATTTAATAATAATAATCTTTTATTTTCAACACCTTATCTATCGCTCATGATTGATTATTTTTGATTACATTTGGTAGAGTACTTTGGTAAAGTATTCAATAAAAAGTATATTCATTTATATCATTTATAGGTGTCGTTATCCACCTTACACTGATAGAAAATTAAATTTTTTGCAAATGTTGACGTCAAAAAGGCCCGACGTACCAGGAATAAAGTATTTGCCGCATTTGATAATGTTTGGACTAGGTGTAGTTGCTACTATTGGTGTCAAAGCTGCTTTTAAGGTACAAAAGACAGCTCACGCTTAATTACATTTTATTATACGTTAACACGCACTATACGTTGTTAATTAAAGTTGAATTAAATGTCAACGACACTTATCAACAATTATTATTTTATTATTTGTTGAGAGCACATTGCTTAAATAATATAATTTAATTATATTAAAATGAAATCCGATGTTGCGATCAATGTTCACACAGAAGGTTCCTATACCCAATAGAATTGGTGGTTGACAGATCTATATCAAAGTATCTTAATAGATCTATGCAATTCAACTACTTTTCTTATTATTGATTTCTGTAACACATTTTTGCTTTTTTTTTTTCTTTCAAAACACATACTGCAGTAGTTCATATACACACTTATAAGTATATTTAATGAAATATACTGTATTTATGTATACGCACAATGTTATTTTATAGTATTGTATATCAAAGTTTATAAATGAAAACGTTTGTTATTGTAATCTTTTCAGGTAATAAACGTTGTAATTATTAAAGGGTCAAGAGTGAATAAATAATAGGTCGATACCATCACCCTATAAGAAAAAACTAAAATTAACATTTTTGAAATGACATATTGTTATATTAAACGCAGACAAGGAAACTCGACATTAAATAATACATATTCAAATCGTTTCAATGTATTTTTCAAAATATCAGAGGACCGTTACTGTGTTATTTTTTAACGTCTAACATTGATTAAAATAATAATTCGAAATATATGTCGGCGTTTCATAAAATATCTTCTTTTTTGTTTTTTATAGCAATATGTCGTACGAAATCAAAGAGCTTACAATTAGATAATTTTCAAAATAATTCTAATATTATCAAAAATATTTGTTGCTATGTGTTTCTTTTATCTGTCTTTTTTAATTTTTGTAAAATTATTTATTCCAGTATTTAAGAAAGCAACCAATATCGTTGTAATCATTATTTTAAAATTACTATTATTTAATTTATTTAATGAAAACATATATTCAACAAGATGCGTAATATTTGCAGGATTTCTCTGATGAAGACCAGCTGTAATCATTATGATATCGTCAAAAATCAAGATCCTTGTACTAAATGGATACTGAAGTATACTTTAGCTGACAACAAAGTTTCGTTTAATGTTATACTTTCTAAGTAAAATACTAAGTAAACACTTCAAACGATTGCACATTAATAAATAAGTGCACGTTATTAACAGTCTTTTTTTTTTTATATTTGTACAAAGTTAAATTGGAAGGCTGTGCCTATATTTTTTTTCTTCTTTTTTCTTTGTTTTTTACTTTTTTTTTTTTGTACTTTTACACCGTAACAAATGTATAAGGTGCCTTAGTAAGAAATTGTAGAGAGATTAATTATATCAACAGGTGATTAGGAAAAGTGATGAGATATTAGATTATTGCATTTTTAATATGGGATACAAGTTAATATATTATATAGTATTATGTTTTAACATAATGTAATACAAAATATTTGTTATTTTTAAATAATATATTCATTATTTTATATTTCTGGTGTATGTGAAAATATGTGATATTTTATTTTAAGAAGATAGTAATTTTAATTAAATATTTTTACTTCATAAAATCCCAATCATCAATCATTCAAATAATATTTCTTAATGAAGGTACACAGTGATTCTAGATTTTTTTATAAGTATAGTTTCAAGCAAATTGAAATATAATATATATAATAGTTATGATTTATTTCTTACAAAATTAAAGATAATTGCTGAAGCTACAAAAGTATTTGAACATAATATAACTCTTTTAAGCCTTTAATATTTAATAAGACCATTTGTGGCACGAATGACACATTGTAAGCAATTATGCCTACTTTTACTAATTTTTTTGTAACACTTGGTGATAAGAAACTCCATACTTCAAGTAATTTATTTCAAATGTTTCCAAAATTTTAAATATAATATCATTATATTATATTAACGATAAGTAAAACTTAGAATGAAAAAAGAACATTAAGAACTTTGCATATAAATTAACAAATAATTGTTTAATATTAAATCTACTAAAATTAAAAAAATACTTATATGTGTAAGTATAAAAAAAAAATATATCTATATATATATATATTTTTATATATTTAGATGATATCATATTTTTATTTGTAACATTTAATTGTTAAAATATTTTGTTGTAATATAATACGATACATTTTATAACAAAACGATATAATACGTTCCATTTATTTCATTTTACTTTCTTCGTCAGTTTTTTTTTTTTTTTTTATCATACGAACATGATGTTATTTTTCGAAGAATTTTTATTGTTTTAAATAATTTTGTTGCATCATTGGCGAAAGATTTACCCGAACGTGTCAAACATCACTCACGTTTAGTGTTTAACGCACGGAATTTTTTACAGTGGATAACAAAATTATTGGGGAAGTATAGGACGTATTTCCGACTTTGATGAACCTTTTAAAGGTAATATTGGAGCAGAATCCAATAGATACGTTGAACAATTGCAAAGAGTGCAAAAAAAAGTCCATGAAAGGTATCCTGCACTTATCAGTCGCAGAAACGCCATTCTTTGTCTCATAAAAAACGGAAGTTACTTATAATTCGACCTATTTTTTGTTTAATCTGGAATAACACAATTTTAACAAATAATTCAACTCTTCTATTAAAATTGTAGACTTTTTAGAAAAGTATATATATAAAAAAAAAAAAAAATAGTACACATTTACAGAGTACATTGCACATAATATTTGTTCTGTTTCGACAGTACTTTTGTTCTATACTGTACTTTTGATACTAAGATAATCTTGATGTTAAAGTTATCACGTATTATTAATATTTAATTCAACAAAATCATACAAATGTAATCTTAGGACGAATCAATATTTACTGTTTACAGATGTTAAAGTTCCTGTTTCGTTAGTACGCCATATTTGCACGATCTTTCAAGATCACTGCGTAGCTATATTATAACATGACATTGAGAAGAAGTATCTCATTAAAAGTCTTGAGATTAAAACTCGTCGAGCAGTTCGATTATTTTTTACCGTTCGTATTTTTGTCGAGTGTATTTACCATTTTACAAATTATTTTCTTGTAATACTTGAATAAATTAATACTCTTTACTCTATACCGTAATATCTCATATAATTTTATATTACAATTAATATTAATTACAAATTTATAAGAGAATTTATATTTGATATCGATTATAATTAAATTCATCACACTAATTACATTCTAACGGTTGATTAAAAATAATTTCTTTTTAACAAATTAATCGTATATGTATTAATCGACTTAGAATTAATTATGCGTTATTGTTTTACAGTACAATTTCAACTCATTGGCTTTGTAATCACGAAAGCATGCAATTCATCAGCGTTTTTTGCGTAATATTCGCGATCTTTGAATTCGCTATTGGATCTGTGGAGGAACCCTATCCAGATTTATATGATCAAGTAGATGTGGATGCTATTTTTAAAAGTGAACGACTGCTTAATCAATACATACAATGTATAATTGATGAGGGCCCTTGTACTGCCGATGCACGCAGTTTTAAACGTGAGTAATATTTGTGTAATATTGTGAATAATATTTTGTATAATAATTCAAGAGATCAATGTTTCAAAGAAAAAGTAGAAGGCACAAAGTCTATGATAATTGTTTATCATTTTGCTTTGTGAGTAACATTTTGTTAATAATCTAAATAATAATAATAATAATAATAATTAAATAACTGTTGATAAATTTGATGAAAAAAAAAATAGCACAAAATCTTTGTTAATTTGACAAATTTGAAGATTTTTCTCAATAGAGAAGATTATTCTCATTTTCTCATAAGTACACTTTTTCGATTTTATTTACGTAGTATAATAATATAAACAATTAAATTGACATTTAATCGTTTGTTCTTTTGTTATTTTTAATCACAGAAATACTTCCCGATATATTGGTTACACAATGTGCAAGGTGTAACGACTTTCATAAGAAAATAGCAAGGAATGTTTTTCAGATAAAAGAAAAGAAACCTGACTTGTGGGTTAAGATTCAAAGAAAATACGATCCTGGTAATATATACTTACCTAAATTAGAAGAAGTTGTGAAATATTAATATACATTTTATTATTTTTATCATTGTTTAAAAATCACATACGTGAAATATAAGAATATAAAATATTTATTTCTATTTTCATTTTACAACCTAGCGTGGTCGCATATTTAGAGATATTCGAATATAACTAAACAAAAAAAGAAAAGAACAAAAGTATATGTAACGTATGTACAATAATTAGTATATAATTAGTATATATTAGTATTATTTATTAGTACTAATATATAATACAAATATATATAATATATTATACTAATATGTAGTACTAATGTATTAATGCTAATATATTATATTAGTATTATATAATTAATTTTATATAATATTTTTTAATTATATAATAATTATTATAACTAATAAATAAATTGCAAAATTTGTTACTTTTTTTTTTTATTTTCAATTTTATTTATAACAAGGAAAATGAAAAAACTAATTTATAGATATCCACATATGTCGTATTAGCTCCTTCTTTAATACCTTCCCTTTCCCTTTAACGTTTTGATTTCAAACATAATCAATAATTGGACTCATTACGATTATCGAGAGATATGAGTTATGATGCTTTTTTATTTAAATGTTTGTTAATGGCTATAGACAGTATAGTTTTCCAAGTTTCTTTGTCATTTTCCTCGAACCAAGTAATTATCTTGTCAAATATAATTTTTTGTTTATCCGTACACTTGACGCATTTGGTTACCAAAGCTTCTGCAAATATATCTGTTAAAAGACAAAAGTGGTTTTATAGTTTAAATATTTGATCAAATCCAAATTTAATGTTCATTTAAATCAAAGACGATTTTAATACGTTAAACGGGGAGCTAGCTAATATCTCTATTGAAGTTTTTCGTATAAATAGAATGTAAGTATAATAAATAAGAAAAAATAAATATAAAATAAAAATGCAATTCTGTATTTTTAGAAATTTGTATCGTTTGTTCCCAGAACCAACCTTCCACGGTTGATGGAAAGCGAAAAATTGAAGGTTAGTCTTCAGGGATCGATGTAACGTTTAATATGTTAAAAATGAACCTTTCAAACTCGAATCATTTTCAGTGTTTTTAATTTATTAACTTTCTTAGGTAAATGAATTGAAGTTAATCTGACGTACAAGTTTTATATCAGACTGGTATTGTCAACTTCAACGTGACATGCGAGTTTTAACAGTAAACTAGAATTGTCATCTGCAAGGTGACATACGTATGAGTTCAAAGGATTATATATTTTGAATGTAGAAAAATTTAACATCGTTAATTCTAAGAATCAATTTGACCTAAACAAAAGGTTTGAACGTCTGTTCTAAGTAATCCAAATATTTAATTTTAGTTTGAAGAGATCGAGCTAATGTTTAACGTGCTAAAATTGAAGTATAAATTTGTAAAAAAAAAAAACCATTTTATTTGACCATTTACCTTTCATAAATTTCGCTTCTGCTGTTAAACATGGTCCTTTCTCTGTGTAACAATTAACATATTGATTAAGTAAACGAGGTGTATGTAAAATCTTGTCCACATCTACGTCATCGTATTTTGACGTATATTTCGTAACGTCCATTAACACTGAACTAATTGTCATGGATAGGATCATTACGAATAATAGAAGCACATAACGCGTCATTATGATTTTTGTTGTTGTAATTTTTCAAATTCGTAAGAAAAACTTTTGTTTTAAAACAAAAGAATTTTCACGAAAATGTTATTAACAAAACAATAAATTATTTTCACGTTTCGATGAAGTATATTCTATTTTGTTTGTTTGTTTGTTTTTATATTCGTTTTAAGGAACCAATTGTAACATACACCAAGGATATCTTTGAATGAGTTCTGAATGCTTTCGGGCTACTGTTTCTTGTATTTATAGCTGTTGGTGAGAACACGTGTATACGCACTCACATTATAAATAATAATGACTACAAGTTCATCTCGTTGTTAACTGATTATTTCTGAAGGACGTAGAGTTTCAAAAAAAAAAAAAAAAAAAAAAAAAAAACCGGATACTAAAATAAATATATACATGAGGCCAGAAAAATGAAATGAATATCATTAATTATATTGCTTGTCAAATAAATTATCATTCCATTTTTATTTTGAGAATTATAAAAATTGCGTCTTTGTTTTAAAAGGACTTTAAAGGAAATGTATTGTTTACAAATTTTTGGACGAATTAAATTTTGATTTAAATTTAAAACATTTATTTTCACTCAGATTGAAAAAAAAAAGGAAGAAGAAGAAGAAGATATATTTTATGTATAGGTCAACATCCCAGTTACATTATAATGTATTATTAATTATTTATTTAATTTTTATAATTAAATCGTGAAAAAGAAGTCGGCACTCATATTATCATTTATTTTCGTAGCTTATGAGTTTTGTTTCTTAGCATCTTCCATGAATTTTTTGATAAGAGCGGTCCATTCATCAGGACGATTTTCGTTATACCAAATGGCCAATTTTTCAAAGTTTGTTTTTTGAATTTCTGTACACTTCTTACATTTAGTTACGACTGCTTCTGGGAAATGTTCTGCAAAAAAAAAAACAACGTACTAATGTCATTAATGTCATATTAATTACGATTATATATATATATATATATATATATACAGGTCTAAATTAATTTACCATTTTACAAAATGATAGAAAGTACGCTTAAATTAACAATTTTTTTTTCTATTAAATGTATTTTTACTACCCGTATAGAAAACCAGTTATTCGTTTCAAACAACTTCATAATTATATTCAATTTGAATGAGCTTGTCTATTGAAAAAAATTTTATTCAATCAAAATATGTTATCTTAAATATATTTATAAAATTTATCTTCAAATAAATGACTGCTACGAGATTTCAGAAAGTATTAAATTAATATATTAACAGTATGTAAGACGTCATCTCAAGAGAAAGCAAGTAGTATAAAGCTATTTTGAAGAAACTAAGGATTGTAATCTATTTAAAAACAAATGAAATCGATTTATTTTTGTAATATTGTCTGAAACATTATTTAAAGTAATTTTTATTAATTTATTTATTATATTTCGAAGATTTAGAAAATAATTTCATTGTTAAAATCATTTTTCTAGATACTGTATATAAATATTAATATTACGTACATGAGAGAATGCAATGAAAATTTGCATATTGACTTAGTCAGTCGTATAATCTTTGATCGTGGAAAATAACTAATTCTATAAATAAATGCAATATAATTATTCTTTCTTTTAATGCCAATTAAAAGATTATTTTTAACAGATTTTATACACAAATGGTATTTTTAATGATATAAACTTTGATAATAAAAAAAAGTGATTATACATTTTTAAATAACGTTATCTTTGATCTTGTCACTTCATGTTATTATATAAAAGAGATATACAAAAAAAAAAATAAAATAAAATAAATATCTTTTGATCGACAAATTATAATATACGAGTAAACTTTCACATTTCTGTGATCTTTGTTATATAATAATTATATTATATAACATATCATAACACAAATATATCATTATTTCGTAATATTGTAATAAATTTTTTATACAAATTTATATATTATTTATTTATTAATATTTTAATAGCAATTTTTTTTTTTTATATTTAAAAAATTTAATCTCATAGCTATCGATGGCTAGCTTCACGTAGCTCTAAGGCATTTATACGCTGTACGTCGTAGCCGATTGTGAGGTTCTGATTTTTCGAGACCCGTAAGCCAAAAATTTATTTTTATTTTATTTTATTTATATTTATTTTAACATGGGATAGAGAGTTCCCGTTAGATTATTAAAAGATGGATGAGTGGTGACGTAGAAACTAAGAACGCTCGTAGAAAATAAAATTCCATGTGTGTTGTTTTCACAGAGACAAAGTAGATAAGTGTGAGAATTTGTTCGTAAATAAATGACTCGAACCCGTAAAAGAGAGAGTTCAAAAGAGAGTTCTTAATATATTCCGTGTAACGCGTACTACCTATGGTACACGTTAAACTTGTTCTTAAGGCCATGTGTATCACCGGTGGGTACACTTACCATTTCACATATTTATTTAACCCCTTAACTTGTGCATTCGAATTAATGCAAGCGGCATTGTATTTTATGCTGCTTGACAAATTTTGATTAATTTTGTATTTTTGTATTTCTTTTTTATTTTTTTTCTAAGATAATGTTCTAAAGTGTGTGTGTTTTTTTTTTTTTTCAAAAAATCTGTGCGTTAAGGAGTTAATGAGTTAAAAATATACGTTTATAACAAATTTAATTCTGTACAAAAATGATTCCTATTCAAATATTGATGCATTATACAAAATGCAGTATAGAACAAAGTACATATAAGTTATTTGCAATAATTAATAATTACATGTAATGGTTGATTTTGTTAAAGCAAAATTAAATGACCTGAATGACAAGTCAGATAAAAAAGGCTTGACACGGAACATGTTAAGATTATTCGAAGTTTAGAAAAATACTATTCACCTAATTAGAATTGATTACTAAGTATTATTTTCTCGTAATTATATTTCATTATAAATAGAATAATAGGATAATATCAAATAAGGTAACAGTTAAATTTCTTAAGTTACCTTATATAAAAATAAAATGAAAGATCAAGCTAACCTTTGAAATATATTGCATCCGGGGTAACACATGGTCCGGTATTCATGAAACAATTGTAGTATTGGTCCCTCAAACGATCGTTGTTAACGATTTCCATGGGATCAATGTAATCATATTTATCAGAATAAAGTTCCTCCTCTTCTGCTGTGACGATTGATAAAATCGCCAACAAAGAGACCAACGAAACGTATCGGAGTAATTTCATTTTTCTGACTGTCTTCAATAGTTGATAATATTAAACTGTTAACTAAGATATTACGTATATGCGCTTTTATAGATCTCAATAATTTGTAGGTGTCATCTTGTCACTTTTTCTTATGCGAACAATAGTATGTAACAATACACTTTCGTCTATAATTATATATGTGTTTATTGTAAGTGTAGTACGTCATCTATCGTTAAAAAAATTTTAAAAGAAATGAATAGAGTACTAACAATAAGTACGACAAGTATCTGGAAGAAGTCTATTAAATGACAAATGACAAATATAATATGTTCATTTAAATTTTTTTCTGTTTTTTTATTTTTTTTTTTTTTATAAAACATTAATTAAGTAATTAATTATTCTAATTTACTACTTCGAACAAAATTTGTTAACATAAATTATGTATAATTGATATTAGAAAAAAATTATCGTAATTATTTTAATCAGGTTTGTTTTATATTTAATAAAATACAAAAAGAAAATATATATATATATAAAATTAGAATAACATAGTTATACAGTTTTATCTTTATTTTTGTTTTTTTTTTATTATCTATAATGTATTCTCCTTAAAATACGTCATAAGAATAAGAATGTTTTTTATCCTGATATTAGTTAACAAAATAACATATTGTAGATGAAAGCCATGTTTCACGTTTCTTATTTACCAGTAATTTGATCAATTATGTATCATCTAGTTACAAGGATATCACACTGTTTACAAAAGAAATAACCAATAATTATATACAGGATTGTAGAATCAGTATAAGTAGCGTCTATATTAAATGTTAGAAGAGTCATTTAATTTCTAACAATCTAATAAATACCTTGAACAAATATGTTAAGGTTAATCGGTATTATAGCATAAATATTTTTAATATTCATCCGTGTTTCATTTTTTTCCTTTTTTTTCTTCTTTTTTTTCGTTACAATGATATAGAACTGTTGTATTTCATCATAAATCATCGATCGAAGGTTCTACTCTACTCCATTATTATTTATTATTTACAACTAATTCTAGGAAGCTATGCGAAACACCAAGTGCATGAAAATGAACGGGTTACTTAATTTCCTATTTGCAGGAAAACATAGATGCGATTCTTACATCGATAATCTTCTCGATGAGAAAATGATATAACTTGATGGATGGTTTCTTCTTTATGGAAATGGTTCGCTATTAAAATCAGATCCCTATTTTCGCAATAGTATAAATATCTGACATTACAAGATAATGTTAACTTTCATATAATATCTTCTAAAGGCTCGTAGTTTCTTCCTCGATATACAAATGACACGGCCAAGGAATTGGTGAAGTGCATTTTGTTTTTTGATTGATAGTCCTTGTTGATAGTGTGCAAAGTTTCATCAAATTTCTCGTTCAAACGTTCCTATTGCTTATCCGTGTGATCGATCAAAGGATAAGAATTGCACTTTAAATATACTTTACTTTCTAAAATTGTATAAAATTATAAAGCGAATGAATTTATAAGTGAGTTACATTATGCTATAATTATAGATGATTGTAATACGATTAATGCAAATTATCCGTTTTTTATTGTAGGTGTTTTTTTTTGTTAGTTTCAATCAAATTAATATTTTAAATATTAAAATTTATTCGTGGATTATTAGAAAAAAAAAAAAAAAAAAATAAGGAGATGATCTTAAGAGTTGTCACTATTAGCATAATTGCGTTCGCATGGACGACGGCTAAGGCGAATATTGCTGTTTCATTTGTGAAGGATTACTTTTTAAACAAATATATTCAATATTTGGTCGTTTTTGGATGTTGGAGCTCTTTCGGTTTATTTGCACTTTTTTTTTCTTTCTTTGTTTTTCAAATAATAGATGATTGTTAATTAAAGAAATATTTTCTTTTGATTTAGATAAGATGGATTTTTTTCAAAGAAATTTATTGACCAATCTGACGGTATCTTACGTGTCTATTAAAGAAAATCTCGACATAAATAACATTCTCAAAGTTAATTATTATAAACTTGGTATTATTCTTGATATCGATTGTCCTCAAAGTGAAATCATTTTCAAACAGGTTGGTTATTCTAATGAATTATTTCGATAAATATTGATTGATAGGTAAAAGGCTTTACAAATGACTAATCAAAATTTTGCAAATCAATATTAGCAATATTTTTTTACTGAACTTATAAATATTTATCAATAAAACTATCTCACAAGTACAAAATTTGTATACATGAATATTCAACAATTTTTATATTTTATTTAAAAATAATTTTGTAAATCTATTTACTTAAAACTGGAGGAGGAGGAGAAGGAGGAGAGAGAATTAACTTGTCAGATGTAAAATATCAAACTTTTCCTAATACTTATTGTAAATACAAAACGTAATATTTTAATTATTGTTTGCAGTTTAATGGAAATCAATTGCCTTACAACGAATCTTATTTTTGGCTTATGTTAACTGAATCAAATGCAGTTCCAATAAATTTATTCCAAGATTTACCACTTTCCATAGCTACTGAAATTACAGTGGCATTACGCGAAAACAATAGTTATACTCTTTACGATGTTTATAATTTTAGTCATCGACACGGAGGTAAGCTCAATGTTACTTACATGGGTTACTGGACTTTCAACGATGGATTGAGGAACGAATTAACCCAATACAAGTACAAACGTCGTCAAAATTTTCATAAACTCGCCCTAAACGTTTCTATTCACGTGAGTTGAAAATAATTAAATGGTAGAACAAATTTAATTGAAACAATATTGTGTAATAATTAAATTGTTTATAATGAATTATGTTTGTAAGATTTTTGTTTTTGTTTTTGTTTTTTTTTTTTTAGGTTGATCATGATCCATTACCCGATTTTCACACGTATATTTTAAATCCGATTAATCGTCACGTAGATACAATGATGCGTTATAATTATGCTTTGATTGTACAATTAATGGATTATTATAATATAACGTAAATTTGTTTCTAACAAAATATAGATTATTATTGAAAATAATTGGATAAAATTATTCGATCATATTTCTAATTGACTATATTTTGTTATTTCTTTGAATAGTATGAATCTAAGCAGAGGAACAACCTGGGGATATCTTAACAATGGCACCTGGAATGGTATTATAGGGGATATGCTTCGTGGGATAGTGGACATAAGTGCTACTCCTTATTTATTTAAAGCAGCAAGGATGGATGTATGCGATTACACGGTGCAGTCTTACGTAGCAAGGTAACAACTATTGGATTTGTTAATAAAAATAACAAAATGTGTGTGTGTTTCATAATTGATATTTAAATTAATAACACTAGTATTTCTTATTGAAAATATTTCGTATCTTATATTTCAATAAATAATACAATAGTATGCTTTTATTTAAAAAAATCATTTAATATTCTATTGGGATCTCTGGCACTTGAATACGCTATCTGGTGACTAAGTTCAAAATTAAAGTAGATAGGTCAAATTGCTACGCCACGCCTATGCCAGAGATCCCAATATTTAAATAAGTATAATCATTTTATATATTATTTTATTTAAATACAAATAAATTTTAGATCTCAGAATTAGTTTGGTACTAAAAACACAGTAATCATTTTATATCTAACAATAAATCAATAACACTCTTTAGAATATTAAAATAATAATAATAATAATAATAATACACGCAGGGCGAGCATAATTTTTCGTCATCCAAAAACTAGTGACGTACGTAACGTATTTCTCATGCCATTTACGGAAGACGTTTGGTATTTGATCCTAATCGTAGCTGTCATTTATTGGCTGTTATTATTACTTACGGTTAAAATCGAATTGTATTACGATAATTATCCAAAAAAGTGTACTTTGGATACTAATCCTTCTTCGGAAACTGCTTTGATAACAATCGCTGCTATTTGCCAACAAGGTTTCGTAAATATTTATTACAATTTAATTTTAAAAGTTTCACTTATTAAATATTGAATACATATTTGTATTTAATATTAAAAAGAGATTCAATTTTTCAAGTGACCAAATTTTTTTTTTAAATATTTCGTAGATATTTATTTAAATTTATTAAATAATTAAAAAATAATTAAAAAAAAAGAAAAAGAACAACCTAATTAAAAGTAATATTAAGCAGCTGTTTTTTATGCTTACACGTGGAATTGTAATAATATTTGACGAGGTTCATTTTGATTATATTCGTATATAGGTTTGAGCGATGGTCCACGAATTTATTCTGGTCGCATAGTATTTCTTTCATTATTTCTTTGGGGATTACTTCTTATTCAATTTTATTCGGCCAGCGTAGTGGGATCATTATTGTCGGAACCACCAAGGTTTATAAATACTTTGAAGGATTTAGCTGATAGTAGCCTTGACGTTGGAATTGAAGATATGGCCTATAATTACGATGTTTTGGCCGTAAGTATTATTTTTATTTTCGAAATGTTTTCATTGAAATTATTCGACTTTACTTATTATGATTGAAACTTTTAATCAGAAAGAGCAGTTCCCAATGACCTATATTATACTATGTAAAAACAAGGTCATTAATTTGAGTAATTACAAGAGTTACAAGAGTCATTTACTCATGACGATGATCGTTATAAATATTGTCAAGGTTAAAGTCGAGGTCTTCAGGACTGCTTTCCTTATTGAAAGTTTCAACCGAACAAGTTGAAATCCTAAATTATTCTCATATTATTTCAATAGAAATCACCGAATCCAGATGTACACGAGCTCAATCGGAAAAAAATACAGACGAGCAAAAAACGAAAGATCGAGCCTTTCTTGACTGCTGAGGAAGGTCTGAAGAAAGTGAAAAAAGGTGGCTATGCCTTTCAGGTTGATGTTGCTACAGCTTATAAAATAATCGCGGTTAGTAATCGATAAATAATATTGACGATAATAAATCTCTAATAATAACATCTGTTTTATTCCCTTTTATTTTAATTATTTTGATAGGACACTTTTTCGCAAGACGAAATTTGTGATTTAGCGGAAATTCAACTGTTTCCAGTTGAACGCATTGCGACTGCTGTTAAAAAACATTCGCCCTTTAAGAAGATGGTTACTTATGGGTTAGTGATCAAGTCAAACAAATTTTCAATTAATTCATTTATATCATTTTAATTAACTAATATAGTGGAATCTTCAGAATTCTGCGTTTAAAATACTCTGTAAATTAAAAAATGGTAAAAATTCATTTATCCGAAAAATTACGTTTTGTAATTGCGAGATTCTACTGTACTTTAATTATTTGATAACATTAATTGATTATCCTGTGATATATCCTGTGATTATGCTACTTGAAATTTTCTAAATTATAGTAACATTTATGTTTCCTTTTTGTCAGGATTCTTGATTGTATATAATTTGTAGAAGATATTTTATTTTGATTACAGATTGAGAAAAATTGTTGAGCACGGTGTGCCAGGACACCTGAGATATGTGTGGCAACCAGGACGACCTCAATGTCCTGAAAGTCACAGTGCAAAACCAGTCCCAGTTGCATTGAAAGAATTTAGTCCAGCTTTATTATCTCTTTTTATGGGGATTGCCTTGGCTCTTTTAGTAATGCTCATTGAAATGTATATAAAACGTCGTAAAGATCGAGGTCAAATGGAATCATCCTTGGAACCATCACATTTGGAAGTAGCATCAAATTTGTGCTTTTCCGATTTAGATCAATTTGATTTTCATACCGTTGAACCGGAAGATGTATCGAATTAATTTTCTGTTCCTTCTATTGCAGTAGTTCGTGCGTTTGTAATAGCAACAATGTATCGTAAAAAAATACATTAATTTTAAAGCGATTAATTCAAATTAATGCTTAACGCTGTTTTCAAAATCACCAACGTTTATTTTGCTTCAACGATTTGTTTCCTTTTCATTTATGTTTATGAGTTACTATTGATGAATAATGAAATAAAAAATGGAAAAGAAAAAGGTAAAGAAACATTTTCCAATAACGAGTTAAACGCATACAAATATATAAAAAGATCATATTCATTAAAGTTACTGTTCGATTTACATGTCATTTGTTGTTGTTTTTATGCAAAGGCATAAAAACAGGCCAATAAATTTTAGGTTGTACTAAAATTGTTCTAATTTCGAAATGACACAATGGAATGGATGTTTTTGTTTTTCGTTAACACGATAACGAAGATATGGTATTTTTCAAATCATTTATTGCTTATTGAAAGAATAACATGGCCAACAACGAGCAATTTATGAAATATTCAAAATAAGATGCTGTTTATAAGGAAAAGATTGTTTTTTTACTAGACAAAATTCTATTATCTAGTTTATTTATAGATTTATCGATTATCTAATTATTTAATTAACGTTTTAATCAATTTTATTCGCATACGTTTTGATTAATTTTCATAAACTTGACCAATTTTTAAATATACACCGTTTTTCGGTTGAAACAGAAACATCGATTGTCCGAACGAATATGGAATGTCAGTCTTTTTGCATAAATCGACTTTGTGATTATGTAAAAATGTCGCCAGTCCAATTTTCGTTTGAATTACTGCTAATCTTGCACCTAAATAATAAACAAAAATCACCATTATATTAATTATTTAATAAAAACGATTGAAATTAGATCAGGGCTTTTCACAGTATGATTAACGGTTTTATATGAGATCGTAGACATTTAAACGCAAAATTTCTGATAAAGTAACGACCGAAGATTTATTAGAAACCGGTTTAGAAACCGGTAAAAGAGTCGTCCATAGGTGAAAAATATTAAAAAGCCCCTACTTCAGGGGTCGGCAACCTGTGGTTCGCGAGCCACGTGCGGTTCTTTGAATGTGAAGCTGCGGCTCTTGAGTTACGAGTTTAGTAAAAAAAAAAAAAAACATTTCAAAATCGTTCTGAATTAATTAACGAGGAACCGATGATTATTAAAAAGACAAAAAAGATTTATTTATGCGAGTTATGCGTGTATTATTTATTTTGTTGGCAAGACAGAAAAATTTTGTGGCTCTTTAAAAACTTTAACATTTTGTAAATTGTAATTTTCGGCTCTTCCGACTCAAAAGGTTGCCAACCCCTGCCCTAGTTAAAGAATAATTTGAATTTTGTTACCAATACAGTTTCGTGGTCCTCTACCAAAAGGTAAATACGTTGTTTCGTTGATTAAATTATCTTCTATCAAAAATCGTTCAGGATCGAAAACATCTGGATTCGGATAAATTTCTGGATTGTGATGTAACGCAATTATGGGTATAATAATTTTTTGATACTTGGGTACAGTTAGTCCAGTACTTTTAAACATGTAAGATGGAGCCGTACATTCCCTGTATAAGATCATTCCTGTTGGATACTTTCTAAGTGTTTCTGAAAATTTAAAATAATTAATATTTGTAACGTTTACATTAAATTTATTGAAATTTTTCAGGTATTCTAAGAAATTGTCTTCATTTTTTATTTAATCTGAAGTTATTTATGCAATAATTTAAAATTATCTATTGAACTTATTATTTTACATTTACAATTTTGTTATATGCACCTTGATAAACTGCATTCAAATATTTCATCGTTTTGACTGATTCGAATGTTATGGTACCGTCATTTCTCTCAAATTCTTCTTTAATTTCTTCACGAAGTTTGTCTTGTATATCATGGTGTTGTGCTAATTCATAAAGCGCATGGCTAATCGTTAGAGAGGATGTTTCGAAACCAGCTCCGAAAAATACGTACGCTTGTGCTGCACATAGTGTCTCAGTGAGTTCTGAAATATTTTAGATATCAAATTCATGAAAATATTTTCAAGTTTTTAATATTAATTTTAATAAAAATTTCAAATATATTATTTTGTTTAAAGTATGTTTTACAGAGATAAATAATGTTTATATTGAAAACTTTTCAAATGTATTACGAAAAAATAGAGTCAAACAATTACAAGATTCAGAATCTTACCGAATTCGATGCCAAACTTTTTCGGATTTTCTTTCAATTCTTTCAATATGTTTATAAAATCATTCTTGACGATGTTATTTTTGATTCTATGCTGAATCGTTTGTTCAACGAGATTAACGAAGAAAGAAGTTGTACGAGTGTCGTGCATCAATAAAGCGAGTTTGTTGTAAAATGTCGGAAAAGCTTCTCTTAATCGAAATTTAACGAGACTTTTCAAACTATCCTTAAATATTTCTCTACTAATTTTACGAAATTCAGAATGCTCATCAGTGAGAGCGTTCATTTTGATTCCAAATATGCAATTACCGACCACGTCGAGGGTGAATTTAGCTGTTATGTCGTAAACATTGACGTCAGAGTTTTCAGGTATTTTGTTTAAATATTTTTCCAAATTATCTGAACATTCTCTTATCAAATGGAACATATTTTTTAATTTACCGGACGAAAACGAAGCTGATAGTTTGTTCCTTAATGGTCTCCATCTTTCTGCTTCGAGTAAAACGAGATGTTGAGACAATGGTTCTACCTAAAAAAAAGTCAACCAAAATTTATAATAACTGATAATTAATGCAATAAAACGATGAGTAATAATCTATCGGATTGACCGAAAAGTTTATGTCAATGAACTATTTTTAATATTTCGATATAGATTTAAAAATAAAGAAATCGGTATTACATTTTCGTTAAACCCAATACAAGGGTGAATTGAACAAATTTGTATTGTTTTATAAATATACGATAATTCATTAAGTTGATTTATAAATTCGTGCTGATTTAAAAAATATAAATTATTAACCAAAACTTTTATTCGATAAAAGTATCATATAAAAAAATATAAATTTCAATATTTATATTGAGAAATTCATCAATCAGCAAATAAAAGGTTTGTAATATTGACGCAATCTTCACGCAATCAAAAATACTGTCTTATAAATATAAAATATAAAAATGTCGTACTTTTTCAGCCATTGGAGCGCCTCGTTGAGGAAAACTAGAAAAGTCCGTGGTCAGGACATCTTTTATTAATGGAGGATCTTTTAAGATGAGTATCGGTGTTCTTTTATAGAAGACACCAATATACGGTTCGTTTTTGTACAAATTGCAAATTTCAATCAAGTATCTTGCTGAAGATATTTGTTTTAATATCAGATTCTTGACATTGCCAAACAGAGGAATGGGTTTTGGTCCTTTGACTCCTCTAACTTTCCAAAAATCAAATGTCGCAGTCGAGTAGTAATAACAAAAAAGAATAATCACAACTATACTGCAGAATATTTCAAATATTCCTACCATTCTGAAATAGACTGTTTGTAACAATAACTTGTTAACTTTTATGTTAAGATACGTGTATACTTAATTATTATAACAGAAGTGCTTAGAACGAGACTCAAAACGTTTCTGTTTCTTTCGACTGATTTGCATCAACTAAAATTCTTTTTTAGGTAAAGATTGAGAATTTGAATTCCGTCAATATCTTTTTACTTTGCTCAGTCGGTTACATATACATTCGTGAGCCTTCTATTATCTTTTATTTTATTTTCCTTATCTATATTCTCAGAGATTATTTTTTCCTCATATTACGAATATTGCTTATTGAATATTTTGTTTATCTGTACTTTAGTGTCATCTTCTTATTCACTCGTTATTTTTTTTATACTTCATGCAATAAAAATAGTAATATAAAATTCACGATGGAGACGATTAGACTGAGTCAACAAGCAGTTTCAAAATGTCTAAACAGTCTGGGAATGATCCAGAAGCAAGGATATTGGGTACCATACGAGTTGAAGCCGAGAGATGTTGAACAGCTTTTCTGTATCTATGAACAACTGCTTAAAAGAAAAAAAAACGAAAAGGATTTCTGCATCGGATTGTAACTGGTGACGAAAAATGGGTTTTTTACGATAATTAATAACTTTTATAAATAATAATAATAATATCATATATATTTTTATTTCTAGACTACGTTTATAATAAATATAAAACCATTAGACACACAACACACACCACCAGTAATCGAGTTAATTTTTCATATGAATTTAGAAAACAACGTAATTTTATTAATTTATAATTTTAGTGATTTTTAAATAAATTCCGTTTTTAGGTTGAAATAAAAATGCTGAGGAACTGACCACATATGGAATTTCGGTTTTTTCGCAGACATCGACCTTGTAATTACGTAAAATCGTTATCAATCCCATTTTTGTTTGAACAACAGCAAATCTTTCTCCTAAAAAATGATCAAAAACTTATATTAATTATCTAATAAGAATGATTGGAAGTAGACTAGAGCTTCTCAGAGTATATTTAGTGGTCTTATATGAAGTCGTAGACATTTGAGCGAAAAATTCCTGGTAAAGTAACGATCAAAGATTTATTAACAAACCGGATTAGCAACGTTACGCGTATAGTATGTTTATGAATTAATCATAGTCAAAGAAAGTAAAGTCCATAATCTAGTGTCGCAATAATATTTGTTCGTGTAAAAGAATCGTTCGTAGGTGAAAAATGTTGAGAAGCCCCCTGTTAAAGAATAATTTGAATTTTGTTACCAATACAGTTCCGTGGTCCTCTACCAAAAGGTAAATATGTTGTTTCGTTGATTACATTATCTTGTGTCAAAAATCGTTCGGGATCGAAAACATCTGGATTCGGATAAATTTCTGGATTGCGGTGGATCGCAACAACGGGTATTAAAATTTTTTGATTTTTGGGTATAGTAAGCGTAGTTCCTTTGAATGTGTAAGATGATGCTTGACATTGTCTGAACAAGATCATTCCTGGTGGATATTTCCTTAACGTTTCTGGAGATAAAATTCTACAGGTGAATTCATCTGTTAAAAATAATTATTCATTTTATTTTCTATAAGCACCTTGAAACACTGCATGTAAGTAGCCCATCTTTTTGATCGATTCATACTTCATAGTTCCATTATTTTTGTCAAATTCTTCGCGAATTTCTTTACGAAGTTTGTTTTGTATTTCATGATTTAGTGCTAGCTCGTAAAGTGTATTAGTCATTGTTGTGGAAGATGTTTCAAAACCGGCAGCAAAAAATACGAACGCTTGAGCGGCACACAACGTATCCGTCAATTCTGTAATATTTATATAAAATAATTCCAAATAATATTTTGTAATATTTCTAATATTATCGAATATTGTTAAATCTTACCGATATCATCTCCAAGCTTATCTGGATTTTCTTTCAATTCCTTCATTATGTTTATAAAATCGTGTCTAACGATGTTATTTTTAATTCTGTGTTCCATCGTTTGTTTGACAATATTAACGAAGAAAGAAGTTTGATAAGTATTGTGAAACAAAAATCCGAGCTCGTTGTATAATTTTGGAAAACTTTCTCGTAGACGAAACTTTAAAATGTTTATTAAATTCATCTTAAATATTTCTCTACCCATTTGACGAAATTCGCTATCCTCGTCTGTGAGTGCGTTCATTTCGATACCAAATGCACAATTACCGATCACATCAGTAGTGAATTTAGCTGTCAATTCACGAATTTCAACGAAATCCTTATCAAGTATCTTGTCCAAATATTGTTCCAAATGTTGTGAACATTCTATTATCAAAGGGAACATTTCTTTTAATTTTCCGGAAGTAAACGCAGGTGAAAGTTTGTTCCTTAATGGTCTCCATTTGTCTGCATCGAGAAATACAAGATGTTGGGAAAGTGGTTCTACCTAAAAAAGATAATATTTTATAAGAATCAGTAATAAAATTTACTATATATATATATAAACAATGAACACAATAATTTATTCGATTAATTAAATAGTTCATGACGAGTTCAAAAAAATTCAATACAGATGCTTTTATATTTCGGTAGAATTATTTAAGAATGAAATAAATTGACTTGAAATAACCGCAATTTTGACGCAACCATGACTCAAAGTTTGAACTTTCTGCTCAACTCAAAGCAATTGGTTACAAACAAATGTCATACTTTTTCTGTAACAGCAGTACCACGTTGAGGGAAAGTGGAAAAGTCCTTTATCAAGACATCCTTTAACAATTGTGGATCAGTTAAGATAAGTATCGGTGAAGTTCGGAAGAAAACACCTATGTACGGTTCGTTTCTATATTTACTGCAGAGTTCATTCAAAAAATCTGGCAAAGTTTTCCGTTGAAGTAGTAAATCTTTGATATTTCCAAATAGAGGAATTGGTTCCGGCCCTTTCACTCCACGATTTTTCCAGAAGTTAAATGTCGAGGTCAGATAATAATAAAAAAGAATAACGATAACAGCTGCTCCCGTCAATATTTCAAATATTCCCGCCATTGCTGTAACAGCGGATGCTTAACGGTCGACTTCAACGTTTAAGCTTTATTTCTACGAAAGAAGGCATATTAGATTATTTAGAATGTGAGTTCGAAAGTAGGAAAACCTAAAGGTTTTAAGGCAATATATTTATATGTATACCATAGTAAACGATTGTAAAATATTTCACGTTTTAATAGCAATGAAAATTCATGAATGCAATTGTGCAATTATTATGAACATCACTCTTGCATTATATAATAGTCCACGGTCAATATAGTTATCAGGTAAACGTAAATACGTATCATGCAAGTATATTTAGATTTTATTATAAAATTATTAAAAAAATTGTTCGGATATTATGAAACGAAAAGATTTAATTGTTAGTAATAAAGTTGTATAAAAAAATGAAACAAAATGAAGAGAATAAAACAGAATTACCTTGTTATTCGTGAAATTACTCAGCACAATTTAGTCTGTTGCGAATGATGCTATGAGTTGTGCCTGTGAGTGGTATTTAATCACGTGACTTGACAATCACTCCTCCGTTTGATCAACAGATCTCTTTGGACTACCTAGTCTGGAATGATGCTTCACATTTCTCGTTTCATATTATTAAGTAAACAAAAAAGAAAGAGGGGGAATAATTGTTTACTTATTATAAAATTTATTATCAATCTTCTTAACGATTCTTAGAAGAGAAGACTAAAGAAAGGAGAAAAGAGAGATTTTTGAATATGATACTTCAAAGTGAATCGATCAATTGATCAATCGATAATCCTCTTTTTAATTTTACTCATACTTTGTAAAAAAAAAAAAGTATACAATAATTATTAAAATAAAGAAATTAATTGAACAATTAGATTAAAATAAAACTGAAAAGTAAAAAAAATTAAATATATATATTTTTTTAAATTACTTTAATTAAACAAGTTATAATCGAAATAAAACTGCAAAATTAAAAAGAAAAAAAAACAATTGAAAATAAAAAAAAAATAAGAAAACAAAAGAATGTTTATATTTCTTTATAACAATATTAAGTTTATTATAGCGTGTGACTTGCACTTTTATTGTTATCTTTTTTGTATCAACTATACTTCCTAATTATGAAAAATACAGATGACTCATGAAGTTGATTAACAGAATACGCTTATCATTAATATATATATGCTTATCTTAAGATAAAAATATGGAATGTCATATTACTAGGAAATATAAAAATATTACAAGATTAGGATAATTATAAATATATAATACAATAATATAATATTATGTATAATTATTAATTATTATTAGATAATAATTGAATAATAATAATAATATTTCTAACAATTTTAATTGTGCTATTTATATATATATATAAGATTTGATAATAAAATAAATGATTTAAAAAAAGTATTGATTTATTTTTCTTGGATCATTTGAATTGTAGTTGACAATAAGAAAGAAAATGTTTTTACCGACTATGTATGATCGAGATAATGTAGGTTGCATGAATGAAAATTGCAGCATTTAAGGCGTTAAGAGATTTAAAATAAAAATGAAGTCAGCGGTCGCGAATGTATTAATCAATAGCGTCATTGATTTTTTTGGATTTTTGTTATATTTCTATTTCTATTTTGTTCATTACTTTCTGTTTATGTAGTTCAATTACAAACAAATGTATTATACTGTAGTAGGAAAAATATAAAAAAAATGTTGGATTTGTATGGTAAAACATTAACATTGCCAAATAAATTATTTATTTTTCATTTACATTTGATTGCAAAACATAAATTTAACCACTGAAATATTGGTAATCCTACGAGATTACTAAAAAGAAATTTCACTTTCTGTTTGAATAAGCAAACAATTGTTTTCAGATAACATAAAATCTTCAATTGTGATGTTCACGAAACATTCGTAAATAGATTTTTAAAATAAATGCATTTCATTATTTATTATTAATTTTACTAACTTTTATATATATTCCTCTTTTTGGATGCACCAAAAACGCCGATTGTCTTATCGGATATGGAATTTCGGTTTTATCACAAACATCAACTTGGTGATTTCTTAAAAATGATGCTAATCCCACTTTCGATTGAATCATCGCAAATCTTTCACCTGAGTAATAACGAATTAAAAATGACATATTAATAATTACGTGATACATACGTATTTAATTAATATCGATTATTTATATTAGAAATTTGTGTACCAATACAACTGCGAGGTCCTCTTCCAAATGGGAAATACGTTGAATCGTTAATTGCAGAATTATTTTCATCCAAAAATCTTTCGGGATCGAAAACTAGAGGTTTTGGATAAATGTTCGGATTGTGATGCATTCCATAAATTGGTATAACAATTTTCTGATTTTTTGGTATTGTAAGATCAGTGTCAGGGAACGTGTAAGATGGTACTACACATTTTCTAAATAAACCCCATACCGGTGAATGTTTCCTCAGTGTTTCTATAAAAATATATATATATAAAAATGCATTCCATTAAGTTGTTTATAAAAAATCTAAACACAAATAAATCTAACACAATTCTGATGCATAATGGAATATGTATGTCTTATTGTTCAAATAATTTGAATTATATTTAATAATTAATGATCATTAATTACATTGTTTATGTACCTTGAAAAACAGCGTGTAAATATTTCATCTTGTTTACCGACTCGTACAAAATTGTACCTTCATTTTCCTCAAATACTTCGTCAATCTCTTGACGAACTCTGTCCTGTATGTCTTTATTTTGAGCTAACTCGTAAAGAACATTGCTCATTGTCCAAGCAGACGATTCGAAACCAGCACCGAAAAATAAATACGCTTGCGCGGCACATAACGAATCTGTTAATTCTAAAAAAAAAAAAAGAAAAAAAACAATACAATAAAATATTTGAAATATTTCATGAAAAATGTTATTAAAATAATACAAACAATTAAATGAACATTTTTCAAATCTTACCAACTTCTTCTCCAAGTTTGTGCGGTTGTTCTCTTAATTCCATAAGTATATTTATGAAATCGTGTCTGATATATTGATGTTTTTTTCTATATTCCATAGTTTCCTTAACGATATTTAAAAAAAATTTAGTAAGATGGGAATAATCGAAGAGGAAGCTCAGCTGATTGTATAATTTAGGAAAACTCGTACGCAAGCCTTCTCTCAAATCTCTTTTCAAACCAGATCGAAACATTTCTCTACCCATTCTACGAAATTCACTGTTATCGTCAGCAAGTGCATTCATTTCTATGCCGAATGCACAATTACCGATCACATCAGTAGTAAATCTACCCATTAATTCGTAAATCTCGACAATATTGTTGTCAGGCATATTGTCCAAATACTGTTCTAAATGTTTTGCGCATTCTTTTACCAATGGGAACATTTCCTTTAATTTACCGGAAGAAAATGCAGGTGTTAGTTTATTTCTCAATGGTTTCCATTTGTCTGCTTCTAGATGGAATAAATGTTGGGACAGTGGTTCAACCTTTAAGAGTAAACAAGAATTATTAAAATTTGCTTATAATCTAAGCTTAATTTATTTTATTTTATCAATTAACAGGTTGAATGCTACGGGGGTCACCGATGACCGGCGTGCCCAGATTAATAAAAATATATTCCACATCGTCGCGTCACGAACAATCCCGGTAAAATTGGCGTGACATTAAACTTGTTAATAATAATAATAATAGAATAAAAAAAATTGCATACCTTTTCAGTCACGGATAGATTTCGTTGGGGGAAACAAGAAAAGTCTTTTATCAAGACGCTCTTTATTAATTGTGGGTCTTTTAGAACGAGTATCGGTGTACTTCGAATGTATATTCCAAAGTATGGCTTATCTTCATATGTTTTGCAAAGTTCTATGAGATATTCGGCCATAATTTTTTTACGAAGCATAATATCAATGACATTGCCGAATAAAGGAAGTGGTCGAGGCCCTTCGACTCCAAGATTTTTCCAAAAATTGAACGTTCTACTCATGTAATAATGAAAAATTACAACGAGCGAAGTAACGATGCAAATTATTTCAAATATTCCCGGCATGTTGTGATTTTTGATATTTGACGACGATGACTTAGATATCTTTCAATTCTTATATACGATATTTTTATTTCTGAAAAGTAATATTAAAGATAATTAATTTCGTAATAACGATTCTTATATATTACTGGTAATTTACTAAAAGCCGACAATCTGCTGAATGCCTTGGCATTGTATAGAAAAACTAGGCATTCTGTAGAATGACGGATTTCGAACTTTTCCTATAACATATATACTAGATTTTTTATTTATAAATAACAAGATGAAAATATTGGGCCACTGAAAAAGTTCATGACTTTTTTATCAATATAGATAACTGATGCTGACATTTTGAAACATCATAAAATTATTTAAGTTACTCAATCTAGAGAAATAATCAGGTTGATCGTGATTTTAAAATTTTTCAGAATTATGGATCTGTTTATCATGATTACGAAACTTGTTATTTATGTAATATATTTTAATACATATTTGTATTAAATATAGAAGATAGTTAGCCAATTACTGGTTTTTCCAGTTTCACAAATGGTCAACTTCTGACTGTCGCGATTGACTTTTTATTAATGTTTATTATTTTTATGTAACACAACTTTTTTGTTGTTGAAAAATATCCTTTCTTATATATAACGTCCGAAGTTTAAAGAATATCTTCAAGCATAAAGACCTATTATTCAATAAAAATGCAAAAGAAATTACCACTAAAAAGAAAAAGAAAAAGAAAAAGAAAAAAATTAAAAAATTAATTAATAAAAATATTTTATAATTAATAAAATAATATAATTAATATAATATTATAATATTATATATTAGTATATTATATTATTATTTATATTATTTATTTATAATTTATTTTTATTTTTTTTTTATTAATTAAAAATTTTTCTTAACCAATCGATCACTGATACATTCACCTTATGCAATATTTATATTTATTGAACTTATTTTATAGGTAGTATTGTTACGAAAATTATAAAAAAATATTAAAAGATAATTGTTTTACTTACTACCAATAGTTGTGGTATCATTGAGATAACTATGACTACTCACGAAATTATTCAAACAATCAACCGATTGATTATACTTTTGCTTTGATCTTCTTGACTGGCTGAATGATTATGAACATTAAGAATTTTGTTCTTGGAATTAGGTCTTTATAAATTTGGACCATGTTGATTAGATATAACGCCTGCGCACAGAATTGCGTCTTATATTACTTATACATACACAACTTGTTATTATATGTGTGAACAATATAAGTGTATTTATATAAACCAATAGATTTGTTTTTTTTTTTTCATAATAAATGATTTTGGTCGGCACGAAAAATGCATTAAACACCATTATACAACTCACCCTATCTGCAGTAAATAATATTTCAACATAATGTGCATCGTATAATAAAAAAGTTCATGTTGGGTATCATGTGAAAATTACGTAAAATGTGAACAAAGTCAATGTGTTAAATATGACAAGCTTTTATGCTTTAATTCTTTTTTTTTTTTTTTATTAACTTTCCTAATTGTACTTAAAATATATCTATCATTACAATTACATATATAATTTATTACATGAATTTTTTCAAATGTTCTCAAACTTGTAAGCGTTCTTTCCTTTTTGTAAATATTCTTAATATAAAATTTGTTCTTTTGTTTATAAATTATAATATTTATGTGCTATATTCGATAATCATAATTTATATTTCATATATTTATTATTTTGTTCTCTCTCTCTGTCTCTCTCTCTCTCTCTCTCTCTTTAATATGGGCTTAATGATTTTTTAAATGTTTCTTTGTAGTTGTTAAAATATGTGTATACGGTTTATGTAGCTAAAATCTCGTTTGTGATTCCCAATAAAAGATATTTCATGACCTTTGATAAAGCAATGCGTGTCAAAAGTATGTTAAAGAGTAAAGGGATTCCCATGTTCTTTTTGAAATCTTAATTATGATTATAAATTTAAAACAACGACCATGAGAGCTCTATCATTGGAAAAATATTTATATTTGACATTAATATTCGAATTAAAAGAAAATAATATTATTTTTGTTATGCAACATTTATATAAATATATTTTTATTATTTTCATTAAAAAAAAAAAAAAAAAAAATTAACAAATATTAATTCGCATATTTATTTTTTTAAAATAAAGAGGATAATGTGTAATCATTTTACATTCATTAAATGTAAAACTAGTCGACATTTTATAATTGTAGCTGTAATTTATTCATCTATATCACACAAAGTAGATAGAAAAATAAAAAAATGATGAAATAATTGAATAATAAATAAAACACATTAAATGTTAATGAATAATTATAATAATTGTGACATATTACCATAATCAAATATACCATATATCGTTAAAGTAGGAAACGAAACAAATTTATCCAAAATAATTTCTTCCTTATATCTATCGCTTAACACTGTAGCCGGCATATTTGTTTTGTTTTTTATACTAAGTACTGTCAAAAATAATAAAATTTGGAAAAAAACAAAATAATTTTTACATATATTCTATATATAAATATGTAAATATAAATTTTATATATGTAGGTATCTCTAGCAGGGGCGTGACGTAATGTAGCAATTCGACCTATTTACTTTAATTTGGAATTTAGCTACCAGATAGCGTATTCAAGTGCTAGAAATTATTAGAAATCCCAATATATATAAAATATTAATAAAGTAATAATAAAATAATAATAAAAAATAATAACAATTATAAAATAATATAAATTTTTAAATTTATATTTATATGTACATGTATAAATTTTTAAAGCCTTTTTTACAGTAGCTTGATAAAAATTTAATGAGATGTCACACTATATTATAGAACTGTTTTATCTACAGTCAATAAATTAGAAATCATCAGATTTTGTGAGCGCGGATTTGAAATATTTCTAAAAGTTTAGAATTTATATTCTAACTGTGAATTTTTAATTTCTTGTCTCATGTCATCGATGTTGGGATAGAAGTAAATAAAAAATAATCAACGAGAGAAACACACGATGGGCAGGCAGATATTTTTTAATACTTTATTCATATAATTTTCGTAAGTTACGGCATTATCCCTAATTATATTTACATGTCTTCTTTATTTTTTGTTCTTGTTTGAGAAATTTCATAACGCGTGATGTGCGCGGCGCACTACGGTGCTGCGACGTGTGTGCTTGTGTATGAATGTGAATTCTATTCGCACATTATTTCCAATCGCTTTTGGTAAAAGATCTATCTCGCATAGCGAAATAAAAGATAAATGGTGACGTACGTATGTTGTCGTGTTGACTGCGTGATTAATATAAGTGTGTGTATGTGTATTTTTTTTTTCTCTCTCTCTCTCTCTCTCTCTCTCCTCCTCCTCACGGTAATCCTGTATATAAGTAAATAAATACGCAAATTATATATTTATTTATTTAAATACATACGATTAGACAGACGTGTGTATTAAATAATTGCCAAAGTGATGTTATGGCAATATGCACGTGTCGAGTGAGAATAGATATATGAATGTGATTGTAGTTTTAAAGGTTTGATGTTTGGGTTTTGGTTTATAGGCAGGAGGGAGGGGTATGCTTGTCTCTGCTTAAAAATCGAATTTCTAACGAAATGGCACAGTAGGCTTCGCCTTGACGTGTAAAAAATCTAAATGCATCATATACGCTTGCTTACGTTACATTATTTATATCCGTATTTAATATAATTCATCAAAATGATCAAGAGAAAAAGGCTGACTAGAGCGAGTTACATACGATTAATAAACACGTTCGATCGATCGATTAAACGATCGACAAAAAATTACACAGCATTAGAATATACATTTTTTTTTTTTTAATATATATATATATATAATATATTATACCCTTTTTTACCACCAGTCTTCACACAATCGATTGCTACTATACACATTACATATATACACACACACACATATATATATATACATATATATATTTATAATGTTATATATATGTATGGGCGTGTAAAAATTGTCATGAGTTAGCTGACAAAAAAATATGCGCGATCGAACGGCGTCTATTTCTGTTTCTCTCTCTCTTTCTCACTCTCTCTCTCTCTCTCTCTTTCTCTCTTGTTCTCTCTTTCTCTCTTTCTTTCACACTCATATACATACTATCACACTTTATCTTTCTTTTATACTTTTACTATCTCTATCTCTATCTCTATCATTATCATTAATTTTTCTCTCTCTCTCTTTCTCTCTTTCTCTCTTGGCTGCAACTTAAAGCACATGCTTTCTCTCTATTTAATTACTGTACTCGTATATACTCATAAACGAAATCATCAATCGTACAAATGTAAAATATCCTTCCTCTCTATCTAATTAATAAAAGAGAATATAGGGGGTTTAAGCTTTTTTTATTTTGTATCCTCGACACCGTAAACATTATAAGTATGTATTTATATAAATAAATAAATACTTATATCGTAAATAACCTTTTCTCTTGTCTCATTAATCCAACTATTTGTTCTCTTTTACAATCAACCCCATCTTATCAGATCGATTAATTTATTATTACGTGACGAAATTGTTTATCATTATCGAGGAGAGATTACAGAAGTGAAAAAAAGGGGCAAAAGAGAGGCGGAGGGGTGGTGGGGGGTGTGGGGGTAAATGATTTATGTTATTCTTATTATTAAATATCATATGTATATCGATGTTTGCCAAATCTTTTTAAAATCGTAACTCATTTCGTTTAGTTTTGTTTAATACGACTTAAAAGACATTTTGTTCGTTAATTACGATTACGATTAATTATAGAATTAATCATTGCGTTAGTATAAATGTTTCATTGTCAGTTTGAATAATCGTCGGTACTTCGAAGGATATGCAGAAAAGTCAGTTAGGGCAGTGATAACAATATGTAACGTTTATCGCGAATTCTTCAATGGTTTAATTTTTTTTTTTTTATTTAGATTTGTTCATGACGCGATAGAAATATTAACGTACGAGGTGGGTAATAATGTAATAGCACCGAATTGATAAT